GCCGGGCTACCAGCTTTGTCTCCCATCTTGGGTTGTCATTCAATCGCCGTCGGCCCAAATGACAAATATCACTGATAGACCGCAAGCAACACCAGAGGCGAAGGGACCGGTGCCCTGTTTTTCCGATGCCGCCATAGTCGCGCTTGAGCCGGGCTCCAGACGTCAAACCAGTCGGAGGTGTAAGCAACATGGCGCTATTCCGTATCGACGTGTCTCTGCAAGCAAATAAGCTTTTCAGCGGCCTGTCTCTTGTGCCGCTGGCCTAGGTGATGCATTCAGGCCGAAGCACACGCAGACTTGATCGCCAAGATATGACCCTGAAATAGCATACTATTAAGTGGTGAGGAGCCAGTGTCAAACCGGTGTGAAGCAATGGGAAATGTTTGACAGACACAACCCAAGACATGGCCTTGGCCCTCCTGCTGCGGTTTGCGAGCTGACAACCGTCTCATTACGAAGATGCCACGGTTTTGGGCTGACGTTGTACTCCGTACGTTGTAAAGAATTGGTGCAACTTGTTGGATGGCCAGATGGATAGATTTCCACTCCCCATCAGCACCATAGGGGCTCCATTCCTGAAAGCTCGCCATTGTTCTCCTGCATGCTGCACTTCGCAGTGAAATTTAGATAAAACAAGCAATCACAACATGACCAGTCGGCCACATGCAAACCTAATTGGCGTGGCCTGGATTGGTGTTTGGCGACACGGCGAACGCTCGATTGCAGGTACTAGCGTCATTAGGCTGCAGGTCCAGCGGTTGCTCGAGTCACGAACTTGCATTTCGGGAGCTACCCTCTGTGTTTCGTACCGAGTCCAAGACAACAAATTGCTGCGGGTGATGAACTCAGTAGGCCGCACCGCCAGTACGGGACGAGGGCATCGGCGCTGTGGTAGTACCAGCGCCGCCGAGAGCTCTAATACGGGCGCAGCGGTGGCTGTTCAGTTTCTGTCTTGATATTTCGGTCACATACGCTCCAGTGTTTAGCCCCAACGGTTCCTCGAGTCTTGAAGTCGGTGAACTGTAGAAGCTGGCTAGCTCGTGCCCCCTTCCACCTGAAGCTCGACGCAGCTCCGTGCCCAGGCTGACCCTGCCAATTGCCAATTGAGCATCTCACTACTCCGTACGGCAGCGGGAATATTATGGAGAGATTGTCAGCTGCCATCAGTTGGACGATAGCACGTTCTCCAGTGGTATGGGGCGTCTCCACCTTCACTATCTTTTCTTGATAATAACTGGTAGTTTCTGCGATGCTCTCTCAATCACCCCGCATACCACTCTCATCCAGAGGAGTCAATCTCACCTTTAGAGAATCAGGCCCTGTCTGCACTCCATACTTCGTACTCCGTACCAGAGGCACTTGCAGAGAGACAACCCCTGGTATAGCTAGCACATGCAGGAGAGATGCAGCAGACGCGGCAGGACAAGAGCCAGTCAGAATTGTGCACCACCGGGAGCCACCCATTGCCTAGACGGGATTACGGAGTATCGCGACTAGTCCTAAGATGGTACTGCTTGAGCAGACGTGGTATTGCCCATGGGGAGCCAGCGGAAGGTGCCGCTGCACCTGTTCGTGCTGTTGGTGCAGTGGTTTTGAAAATCGGAACATTGGGGATGCGGCAGCTCGAGACCAGGTGCGGTACGCGTGTCTTGAACGCCGTTGAGAGTGTGAGAGTGGCATCCGGCCGCCCAGTCTACCCGTTTGCTGGGTTCCCGGCTGTTACGTGGCGAGGTAGTAGTAGGAGTAGTATTGCCACGTTGAACCCGAAGATAAACCAACTTGATGACCAACGGAGCGGAGACAATTCAGAGCCGGTCGCTAGGCCGGCAATGGCACTGAGACCGTCATTCCGACTAACTCGGCGACGACAGGCGTAGTTGGGTGCTTCGCTTGATGAAGCCAGTCCATGGCCCCAACGGGCTTTGCCATGCGGTTTCATTGACTGTTGCATTTGGTTAGCTGCTGGCTTTTCTCAGCACAGGGAAACACATGTACATATGTATGTACATACGTATGTATTGTTAGCTGGCGGCAGTTGCTTGGCGTGTGTTTTATTTTCTTCTTTCCTTGAGAGGCTGTGGCTAGGCTATCCCAACACCTCTGATCTCTGCGTGCTCATTGTCTGTCTCTGGAGGTCGTGGTCCTGTTGTCTAAGGAGCGAACGCCCCCCTCCCATTGCGTACAGTTCCACCCTTGCCATTGCTCTCGGTGGATTCGAGAGCCCGGCGATGTGCTCGCAGCTCGGCTATCGCAAGGCTCCTAGTGTTGTTGTAGTTCAAACGGCGGATCATTTCTTGGTTATTTATCCCAGATATTGTCAAAAAGAAAAAGCAAGTGGATGATACCGTAGCATCGCTTTCAAAGCAACAAGTAAAAGCATGCTGCGTACATAGCAGGTAGTATCTTGCTTTGATTGTGTTTGCTTGGTGTGGCGTGGCTAAAGTTACTTGGGCAGTCTGTCAGTGGGCCAATCGGCACACAAGATGTTACGGTACGTACCTGGCATATGGCTAGCCGCTTACTTCCTAGGCACGTACTCTGTGCATTCAATTTCTTAATACGGATGGGGGTATATTTACCAATTGCATAAAGTAAGTAATTCTTGCAGAGAAGGTGTATGTGCATTTCTGCTTCGGAAGGCCCTGTGGTATAATGGTATAAGGCGAGAGAGATGGAGGCAGAGATAGGTACTTACAGACAAACACCGACTGACAGGCCGGATAATCAGACGTGTGGCCCAGCCTAGCCGGGATATTCGTGAAATATTGACTACTAGCAGGACAGATTCTCGAGCTCGCAAGCTTTGCCGGGCCATGAGGAGCCTGCTTGGTTGCTGGTGGTCTCTCTGGTCATATTTCACCATGCGATGACCCCTGTTGCTGGTTGGGGCTCCTACTTGGGGTGGGAACTTGGAGCATTTGGGTAGGAGCACCCTGGCAAATAGCAAGGCCTTGGTTTGTCCCCCAGTCCCTCAGGTCCCTCACTAAGTTAGTGCGCAGGCCACACTGCCTGGTTCCTTCCGGCTCTTCGGTACCTCTGCGCCTCTGGAGGCAAAGTACCCGCCCTGCTCCTTCCTCGTACCTCACGCTCCCAGAACTGGGTCCACTCCCTTGGGCTAGGCTGCACTCCTCCACCCCGGCTCTTGCCCCTGGCCTCCGGGAAGTGGTCCTGCAGGGCTCCCCACCCATGTGAGCCACAAACTCTCTATCAAGTCAGTCAATCACTTACATGCTCCATAACACGTCCTTGTCGAGAGGGCTTGCTCGGCTCAACCGCCTCCCTTTCGCCAAGCACGACGTCGCCATGCCGCCATCCGCAAAGAAACCCTCATTCTGTTGCTCCCTTTGCTTTCCACTACTGCGGCCACGACTCGATGTCGACCACAGGCACCCGGTGCATCCAGAGCCAGCCATTGCACACCCCACACGCCTCCGTCGTCCAAATCAGGGCCAATTTTGCTTCTGTCCTGCAAAAACCGCCCACAAAGCCTGCGTGCCTGGGTTTGTTCTGGTGTGGTGTCTCATTGCCCCCGTCCTCCATGTTCATTGATGTAATTATTATATAGCATTCTCTTGCCTCGTCCCTCCTGCGCCATGTGTGCTGTTGAACCTGTGTCTCTCGCTTCTCTGCTTCTCGCTGCCGAGCCTTCTAGCACGCCTCCTGTCTCCCACTTGATATACAACAGGCGTAATTACGACCGCAATTTGTTACAGCTGAGCAATCACGGACAGTGTTAAGCCTTGTCTGCGGATTTCAACCTCGGGCTGGTTGTCGGCCGTGCACATAGCTTGAGCTTGGCTTATCTGTCGACTCGCAACGAAGGCCAATTGCAAAAGTTCCGGGCAACTGAACATTCGACTTCTAAATACAACTACTTGCAGCCTCGTTTGACGTTAGCCATTTCCACTTCCATCTGGTCCTCCCCGTTGAGCTACAGTGGGGATATCGTGGCCACGAGGACGGCGCATTCTTCCCAAGCCAGCCTCGTGCTGTTCTAGCTGTTCCAGGCAACGCCGATAACTTTTGGTTTGGCTTGTCCAACGGTTCGAGAATCGACGGTTGACAGTTGCAAAGTTAGAACCGGTGTCCGGGCAGGCATCTCATCTTGGGCCGGAACCACACAGAGACAGACCGTCTATCAAGCTTCCACAACTACAGACCACCAACGGCCGAAGAGACAAGCCTAAGGGGCACCCTCTAAACCACATTCGACCTCCGAAACCTTACAACCTGTCTCTGCCCACGCTACGCACTGTCCCAAACCTGCCCCGTGGAGATCGCCGTACCGTCCGTTGCAGCATCTGGTCTTGCCATTAATCTAGCCGGTTGTGAAGCAGATCCCGGCCTGCCCGTGCCCGAGCGCAGGTCGAGTACCGCAGTCCACAAGTCCACAAATCCCTTAGTCTTCAGGGTCCTTGGGCCTGTCCCGAATAACGACAGTCCCACGCATAGTGTCTGCTTGCAAAAGCCACAGCTATCTGGGTGCTCCTACTTTTGACAGACCTCACCCCTACCACACCCCCGGCCCACTCCCTCATCCTTGCTCATTAGTCTCCGATCATATATACGTTGTATGTATATTTATCATCTCCATCTCGCTGCCCTGCTACCCACTGATATCATCAAGCCTTGAGCTCACATTGCTTTGGCTCTACTGAACATTCATAAAAGAAGACATCTCCCCCCCTTCGTCTCAACCTATCCTCCCATCTTGATCAATCTGTTCATCCATCCATTCCCTTCCTTCTCAACTAGAATTCATCATCCATTACATTCATTCCTTGTGGATGCGTCACAGTCCTTCTACTCACCTTTACACCTAACAACACAACGTCACCACGCCTGCTACTACCTCCCCTCCTGTGTGTACGACATCATACCGATTCTGCCCTTGAACGATCTGCGCAGGTCTGGAAGGATACAACAGTATAACCGGCATTGTTCTCACCGGCGACACTCGCAACCTCACCTCCAAGCCAAACACAACACAGTCTCACACAATGGAGCTACTTGAGCTTGTCGAATATGAGCCTACGACGCGCCCATTCCAGTGTGACTGGGAATCTTGCAACAAGGTGTGTAACCTTCTTCATCTCGTTCGCTATCGAACATCGTTTTACTTACTGCGTATGGCAGAGCTTCAACCGCAAGTCAGACTTGCAACGACACTACCGAATTCACACAAATGAGAGGCCTTACACTTGCACAACACCTGGTTGCGGCAAGAGCTTTATTCAGCGCAGTGCTTTGACTGTCCACATCCGAACACATACTGGCGAGAAGCCTCACCAGTGCCAACATATTGGATGTGGAAAGCGCTTCTCCGACGTCAGTCCAGGCCGTCCATCTTTGCCCTGCATGCAGCCTACTTACATTGCACACAGTCTTCATCTCTTGCTCGTCACCGACGTATCCATACCGGCAAGCGACCCTACAAATGCGCCCATGATGGATGCCTAAAGAGGTGAGTTGATAATGCAATGTAGCAATGACTTAATTCTGACCATAGAAGCAGCTTCTGTCGCAAGACGACAATGGTCAAGCACCAGCGACGATCTCATCAACGCGGCCTGCACCCTAACGATATGCTTGACGATTGCACCTCGGAATCAGACATGGGCGAGTCCCCTCCTACGCCCGGCCAAACGATGAGTTGGCCCATGCAGGGAGCTATCACTCATCCTGCTATGGCTCATAGCCATCCCATGCATCGAGCTGCCTCATTTGCCGACTTTGGTCATCATGTAAACCAGTATGGCATGTCCCAGCAGATGGGAAGTCGTCACAGCATGCCCGCAGAAGTCCATGAGTACCACGCTCAAGATGCTGGTATGCAGATCGTTCATCGACCTACCGGCATGCCCCAGCAAGCATACTACGTTATTGACCAGAATAACCCTGGCATTGCGACGATGAACACGAACGTGCCTCATGCATACCACATTCCCCGACAACACGTCGAGCGGCCAGCCATTGACATGACCTATAGCGCCGGGAGCATGACTTCTATTAGCAGCAGCCCAGCCAGCTTCTCTCCTGCATCCGGACATAGCCCAGCTATACACGACGGCATGTACACTCATCAGCCTCCCGCTGCGCCTACGTACAGCCTGCAGGACGCCGCCTCAGTCGAGTCGCAAAACAACATGGTTCCATACGCTCAGCAGATGCCGCAGACGCAAGGATCCCAGCCTGAAAACGAATGGGGATACCCCTACCAGTCTCCTGTTGAGGTAGCTACGATCGGACAAATTCCTGCTTATGGCTCTGGAGTATACGATATGTACTCCGGTCCCAAGATCGAATTCGACGACCCTACCATGCAACTGCCTAGCTCTCGAGTAGAGACGATGTGAAATCGGAACCACAAACTTGCTGGTCGGTGATTCATCTCGCTGTCATCTTGTGTACTCCTGGCTCTGGACTTCAAAAAATTATATACCACTTGTACAACTAATCACAACATATTTTCTTACATGGGCGGCACCTACCTTATAATTGATTTCGCATTAATTCTGGGGCGGATATACCATTTGGGATCTACAGAACCAATGATTTTTTTCGACTTACTTTATTACATATTCCTCTTGCCCCTTTCGCTGGCAATCTATTGTTTATTATGTTGGGTGATTGCCTGGAGCTATCGAGTTTCGGTGCATCTTCTAGCTATTTTCCCTTGTGTTTTACTTGAGAACGAACGCATGGTCGTGGTATTACTTGGTACTGGCGCGGGTTAAAGGGAGATAGATGAAGGGCATTTATTATGATAAAGAGAATAGGGAGGTTCAAACCAGCATGAGCATTGTATCATGAAAGGTTGGATGAAATGATATTTATTGTACGTGTACTATCCGAAATACAAGGTACTTATTAAACATACTTAATTGAATACATAAACACATAAACATTATATGAGACTTACAGACCTCCTGTTGTGGATTCTCTCCATTGTGTAGTCCAATCTCACCGAAAGTACTTGCACAAGGCTAGCTGAGCCCCGAAGGTTAGTCATATTACTTGACAAGTTAACGTAACCAGGGATTTTGCTTATGCTAGTCAGAGTTGCAAGTGTCTATAATCTCTACGGTCTATTTTGGACGGTACTTTCTGCCTGCATATTTTATGGACTGGTATAAAAGCTCTTTACCAACTGTGCTTTTTTTTGTCTCATTTTCTACTTACCAGCTGGCAACTCTGTCACGCATGACGCCCCTTTTGTATCAAGGCAGGCATTGCCTTTTACTGTAACTTCAACTTAACATTCTTATTCACACCCAGCTAGCTGTCTCTGCATATTGAATCACCGCAATGCATCGCCTATTATTGTTGCTTACGGGCTCTTGTGTGAGCATCGCATTGGTGCTTTTACCCTTCCATGATCCCTCACATCCGTTTCCCAATCCTGGATCTCATTTGCCCTTTCAACCCACATTAACCAACATTGGCTTGCATTCAAATTGATTCAATTCCCTGCTTGCTAGTATCATGGTACCACTTTTGCGCCGTGAGAAGTCTCTGGTTTGTCTTGTCAAGCACACCCTTGGCATGCCATCCGCTTAGCCCAGTTGGTTGAACAGGAGCACTTTCCATTGTAGCGAACATCATAAATTGAATAGAAGCCACTACATCGTCATATATTGATGTCGAGGACGACACTAGTCAGGGTATCCAAACGATTTCTTATTCGCATAGAGGCATTGGTTAATGTCTACTCAGGGTTCCAAGTGAAATATTTGCCCTGTCAGACCGTACTTCAGGTGCCTTTACTGGGTCTTGGTACCACTGGTAAAGCAATTGAAATGAAGTCTGGGGAAGTCTTTGGAATGTTGTTGGACAACGCAGTGCATTGCTGGTCTGGACTGATGGTTCGTCGTGTCTATTGTCCTTGGAAGATTATGTTCCTCGCGTAGGTCAGACTAAGAAGATTATTACTTTGTTGAAGAATTGATGGAATTCATATTTTGAATGCCTCGACACCGAGTTTCTGGACCGTAAAAAAAAAGGGCTTTGCTAAGATGGGAACCAGACCATGTCGGGACCTGCTTAAGACAGAGAGGCACAGAAAGAAACCCGAATCAAATTCACTTGTAAATGAAACTGAGTTGATATTAGTTCCAGGTGCTAAGACACTTGACCGGCAATATTTGCCATTGCTAACCTATGGATATGCCGGTGCTGGCTGTGAGATTGTTGGCTAGTTCGCTAGTTCTGGGTTGGCCCTGTATGCTGCAGGGTCAACCTGCAGCGTTTTCTGCAGGTCCCTGAAGTGAAATCCTGGCTATTCATACCTTGTCTTGTGAGAACGTCACGCTAGCGTCACTGGCATGGAAAATGAAGAGATTCGACGCACGGTCGAGATGGTATCGGGGGCAGCCGACATACGCAAAACATCGAGCTAGTTGCCTGAGTAATCCGACTTCGCCAAGTTATCTACATTAATGCTCGATCCTCAGATCTAATGCGCCCAAGGAAGAATACTTATCTTTCGAAAGTCACTGTAGCAGGCCTTTCGGGACGACACCTTTGTTGAAGCCGCCCGCTTAATGAGCCACAAAAAAGCAGACTACGTAAGCTCTTCACCTCATTGCTACCACACACATAGGCGGCAATGTCCATCCCAGCTATACATACAGACACAGAGGTGCAGCTGTTGGGTGATGGTTGGAGCCTGGCCTGGGAGTTGGTTGGCACTGCCGAGTTGGTGTGCCGTGATTGCGCATACAAGAGTCCGGATTTTACGTACGAGTGAATGCCTCTAAGCACCGTATGATTCGCAAATGTCAATGCGTCTTTATTGTGATGTCATCATTTTGCTGGTCTTTTAAGTAATCAAATGGCTATGCACGTGTAGGTGTTTCGAGAGTAAAGGATTCTATGTGGTTCTGTCGGCTGGTTGCGGAATCGGATCATCCAGCCTCCAGTTGATGACTAAGAGGCTCCCCACGGAAAAATCGGGGCCCACGACAACTTCTTTGTGTTGGGATCCGCCGCCGTTGATCGAAGTGGCAAGACGACATCATTCCCACGATCACCCACGCTTGTTGGGGATACAACATCGACATCGACACAGCAACCTACATCATGAATGCGTCGATGTGAGAGAGATATCCAGCGGCTAATATCAGCGGTCTGTCCTCATCAGCTATAGTCGGTCGTGTGCGTGTACCGCCGTGATTTGAGGCCGTTGAGCCGAACCGGAACTTGGCATTGATCCACCTGACAAGACATCGGCGACCGCAGCCACTGTTCTTCATCTGTGCTCTATCACGCGATTGCAGAAGGGCCTTTCTATCACTTGATACATTATTCCTGCGGGGTCTTCGCGAGGGTTATGGCTTTCCATGGCGTCCCGGTGAGTTCACGCGAACGAGCACGAGCTAAGTGTCACCAGCGTGATTATGAGCTGACTCAGAAACCATCAGGCCATGGTGTCAGCCGCCGCAGAGGCCTGGCCATCGATTGCGAATTCGTTAATGGGACCCTGGAGAAGTGCGACTTTGCCTACGCGACGGTTGAAACCGACACCTATATCTGATTCCCAAGCTGTTGGGCCAACTGCCTCCAAGTCATCGTTGACGCAATTGCCGGATTTCATACGAGCTGCGAATCCATCGATATATACTCTCCCCCCAATACCGAAAGGTGCTGTGCCGATGAAAATCCACAATGCCGTATCCAATCTTTCTCAAATTGGCTTGCGTGCTGCGAATCCCGTTTTGCGCCAACCCCAATTCCAGCCCAAGGGATATGTGCCACGGGCGCAATGGCGGCCGTTGGTTTCGATAGATATGCCGAGATTTACGTTCCAAGGTGTGACAATGCAGCGAAGAGGATTTGGTACAGGATTTGGCAGCTCAAACGGCATCTCCCGCAACCAGCTAGCCACTGTTGAAGAGTCCGCGAATCGCAACGCTGGCAATGCCAACATGCAAAATGCCTTTTATCAGCTCCTCCTTCGAGCAAACATGCCTGGAATCCTAGTCGAACGCTACCAATCAGGACGATTTGCGACAAACGCAGCAACCGAGGAAGCTTACAAAAAAGCATTGACAGCACTTAACGCAGGCACCAATACCACCAGTGGGCCATCTGCTCCATCTGGATACGCTAGAGGACAATGGGCTACTCAGGAGCAAGCTATTGCCAATGCTGCTGTCGCTGGTAGCTCGTACGGTTCTGGAGCTAAAGGAGGCAAAGGGGAGCCAATTCACGTCGTCGTTCAAGAGTCAACACGGTCGCTCATCTTTCGCTGGGTCAAATTCTTTGCGACATTTGTTGTGGTTACGTATCTCTGCTTCGCCGCTGTCACGATTCTTATCGAGACTTTGAGTACCTTTAGACGTGGCCCTGGAGCCAAGACGGACTCGGAGGTAAAGGCAGAGAAGCAGACGACCCGATTCAGTGACGTACATGGATGCGATGAGGCCAAAGAAGAACTGCAGGAGGTTGTTGAATTCCTCAAGAACCCAGAGAATTTCTCTGACCTAGGCGCCAAGCTTCCCAAGGGTGTTTTGCTGGTTGGTCCCCCAGGAACCGGAAAGACATTGCTTGCCCGAGCCGTGGCTGGAGAGGCTGGAGTGCCCTTCTTCTACATGTCTGGTAGTGAATTTGACGAGATCTTTGTCGGCGTGGGAGCTAAGCGTGTGCGTGAGCTCTTTGCTGCGGCCAAGGCAAAGTCCCCTGCCATCATATTTATCGATGAACTGGATGCTATTGGCGGCAAGAGAAACCCTCGAGATCAGGCACATGCGAAGCAGACTCTTAATCAGCTCCTTACCGAGCTCGATGGATTCGACCAAGACACCAAGATTATCATCATGGGCGCTACTAACCTGCCAAACCTGCTTGACAAGGCTTTGACCAGACCAGGTCGCTTCGATCGTCACATCAACGTGGACTTGCCGGATGTTCGCGGTCGCCTCGCTATTTTGAAGCACCACGCCAAGAAGATCAAGGCGGCCCCGGATGTTGATTTGGATGCCATTGCTGCTCGCTCTCCTGGACGATCTGGTGCTGAACTGGAAAATATGCTTAATCTCGCTGCCCTTCGAGCCAGCAGAGCTAGAGCCACGGTGGTTTCCAAGGAAGACCTGGATTGGGCATTTGACCGGGTTACCATGGGTGCCGAGAGGAAATCAATGGTTGTTACGGAAAAAGAAAAGGAAATGACAGCTTATCACGAGGCCGGCCATGCGCTTGTGCAGCTTTTTGAAAAGGACAGCTCCAGCAGACTCTACAAGGTCACCATCCTGCCGAAGGGTCCATCTTTGGGGCATACTGCCCACGTGCCGCAAATGGACAAGTACTCATACACTGCTGCCGAGTATATGTCTAACATTCGCGTGCTTCTTGGAGGGAAAATGGCTGAAGAGATGAGATATGGTGACGATAAGGTTACGTCTGGAGTATCAAATGTAAGTGGGCTCTTGGTTAAGGCTTTTGTTTTTGGCATTTATTGATGTTTACTGACGTTTGCCCCGCGTAGGACTTGGAGAAGGCTACTGATTTGAGTTTCATGATGATCACCAACTTTGGCATGTCGAATGTGCTGGGACCCGTGGAGTATGGCAGAAGATATGAAAATCTCAGCTCCGAAACTCGAGCTATGATTGAAGGAGAAGTTCAAAAGACTCTGAAGAAATTATATGAGGACGTAAGAAAACTACTCACGGAAAAGCGGAAGGAGCTCGACCTTTTGGCGCAAGCTCTTGTTCAGTATGAGACTCTGGACAAGAAGGAAGTGGAGCTGGTGATTCGAGGAGAGAAGCTGCCAGGGCGAAGCATTGTCCCCAGGGGCCCGCTGGTATTGCCAATTCCTTCGGATACACCCCAACCACCCGGTCTGGGCAATGTTCCGCATCCACAGCCATCCGGGTCAGAGGCACCGCCACCAGCCCAGGCGGATTCATCAGGAGTTGACAGTTGAAACGTCGGTATCGGCATCAGGTGGAGTAGGGCCGGGGTAGTTGGAAGGAAGCAGAGACAGATGACAGATGGCTGCGTGTGTAACCCTTGACAGAGCATGGGAAAGCTTGTTCCCGGCCTGGACTCAAGTTGACGATGTATTCTCTCAAGAGCGGATGTCGGGCGGTTGCCCCTTTGTACATTTACGGGTTTAGGCTATATACCATTCAATGCATATTTTCTTGTGTCGATGGACTTGATGATGTTTTGGTTGAATGCTGTTTCTGTGAAGGGCAATGCCGGATGTCAAATCAACAGTGTTGGCTTACCTCATATCATGTTGCATTACGGCCACTCAGTACAGATTGGACGTAATGTCAAGGTCGCCGAAAGAAAACTGCAGACAATCTCGAAGCGAAGCAAGCGGCAATGCAAGCATTTTACCCAAATCATGTGCCGACATATCAATGTATTCCGAAGCATGATCTTGTTCGGCGATTATGTGTCGTCGCCGCCCCGCATCCAAACACACGTCAAGCATAAAATACGGCAGCCTCGACTCTCGTTCTTGCTGCAAAAACAACCCGATCAGGCTGAGCAGAAGCCAAAAGGGGAAGGACCGCACAGAATTCACATCTACGCGAGCCTGCAAGTCACACATTTTTTTTACTTCAATGCTCTCTTTTTTTTCTTTTTCGTGTTTTTTCTTTGATTTATAATCACAAACCAGCGTCACCTTTTCTTTACTCACCCAGCGTGACGTGACGCACGTATGCGCAATACAATCACATCAGTCTCCCCCACCCCGGTGGTCCCGTCTCCCGTCTCCCGTCCCGTCGCGTATCTGCAATATGCCAGACAACACAGCACACACCCTCACACAGTGAAAGGGGGGGAAAACCAAGGATACCCTCTTTCCGCCCTACCGTACGGAGGGAGTACGCAGTACGGAGTAGTACTGCCACTTCCTCGTAGCTGACGGATTGCGACTCCCATTGTGAACCGATTGGGTCGTGTGACCTGGCCGCACATGGCCGGGCTTTGTCTATTCGCCCCCGGGGTTTAACTTTTCTCTGCCTTCTTCGGATAAATGCCACGATGACAGGGGAGAGACAAAAACCGCAGGGAACAAAGCGACTGGCGGGCTCGCGAAGCAAAAGACATGATTGGCACATTTTTGTCTCTGAACACGGGCACATGGCTGTACGACCGGTGTGCTCGGGAGCATGATTGGGTTTTCTCTCCAGCTTTGTAGCGTTCATCTCCTTCCCGCCCGTGGTTCTGTGCAACGCACCGTTATCGTGGGGTTGGTTTCTGTTGTTGACCTTCCTCCACTCTCTCAGGGAACCCGTGTACGGAGTACATATTGCACGTACTGGCAGCGAGGCTTTTAATCCGCTTACGAAAGTGGCGCTTTCTTGGGTATCTCTGGCTTTGGGGGCCGCCGCGCCCGTTTCTTCGGCCGTGGGTTCCTCGATGTTTCTTTGGGCACAGAGTGTAGTCGGTACAGAGTCTTCCGTATTGGGGGGCGGGATTGATGACGCCACAACGGCATCGGGTGTCAGTTGCATTGATTTCTTGCATTTCAGACAAGGACGACAAAAAAGGCCAAGACAACCGGAGAAATACTAGCAAAACCAACATGTCAATAAGCAAGGGCTGTAGATAGTCTCCTGTATCGAGTATACGGAGGACATGGTTGATGCTTGTGACGCAGGGGTTCATTTCACATAAGGCTGACTTGCATGCGTCGCTCGCTCCTCTTGGGCTGCCAACGGCCGAAAACGAGAAAAACAACAGGTACATGGCTGCCAACTTGGCTACGAAGGCACACTTGTCTGTTGTGCATTGGCAGGGTTTAAATTCAAACCTGCATGGGCAGTATGTGTATGCCGGGGAATGGTAAAGGGGCAACGGGAGAATTATAACTCTGTGCGACCCCCGTACGTGATTATACAATACGTCTCTCTTATTTTTTTTCAGCTCGAGTGACCCATCCTTTGGTCCTTGTTATTGTACGAGTCGTTTTTTCCGGGGTCAAGCAGGGCAAGAAAAAGAAGACGACGGCAGACGAAAAGAAGAGTATGTACTATTGAGCGGCACGCTGCATGTTGTGCGACAATATTAACCCCCATCGTCACTGACCTCAATGTCTCTCGCTTGGAGGGCGTGAATCAATCGCCGTACATGGACCCATCCGGCTTCTTTTCCTCTTGATTTATTTCTTCTCCCTCAGAGGGGGCTATTCAATGCGTCCCCGTCTTTTTATTCTGGCTCTTGCCCTTCCCCCTCGTCACCCCTCCTTGTGACACATTATATGATAGGGAAAAAAACTGCCCTTTTCGCCTCGATTCCATCCGGCGCAAGCCCGTTGCAAAGAAGCAATCCGTCTTGGCGAAACCTCAAGGGCATCGAGGAAACCAGGCACACCAAAAAATCTGTTACAAGGGCTCTATTGTTATCCCCCCCCTTGGCCACGAATAATGCGTCCTGCCACGTTTTTCTCATCACACTGACTGGGCGGACGGAAAATAAAAATAAAATAAATAATAGGTGGCGGGTTGCGGGAGGGCCTACGAGTCGTCGGTCGTTCCTTCCCTTGCCGGCCTCTCCGTGTATAATTCATGCGGCTCTGGTTATCTGGAAATTAAACAACAAAGCAAGCCATCCTGCGTGGAATTGCCAACCAGAGAACCTTGTTTTTCACCTCTATTGTAATTCCTTCCTTCTTTCTTCCTTCCTCCCTTCATCCTCTTCTTCCTCGACCGCGTCCGCTTCTACTTACGTCTACTACGACTTCGCTGGCCGGGAGACGGGCGCCCTTTCTCAGATCAAACCCGGAAGTGGTCTTTTTGACGCCGTTTCTGTTTGAAGACTCCCTCACCTTGTTCGGTCCTCATACTTTGTGGATCCCCCCTCCCAACCATCGAGATACTGGCAGTGCCCGTATGGGAAGCAGATGACAAGCGACACGAGAGCGGAAAAAAGAAAAAGAAAGGAAAAGCAAGGGTGCGCGCAGCTCGGGGGCGCTCCCCCTTTCCCAGCCTTTTGGATTTCGACTTCGGATGGCATCTGTCGGCGGGGATCGCCTCGTGGAGACGAAATCTGTCATTGGGGACCATCAGGCGATGGCCAGGGCGACGCCGAGGCCTCATCCCTGCGGATGTGGGCGTGTAAGAGCAGCGCCGGGAAGGGGGAGTCGAGCCACAGCCACGCGCGAGTTTATGCGTCGTCCAAGGGACAGCAAAACGCTGGTGCGAACATCGTCGTCGTCTTCGACGGTCGGTGCGAATGTTGACCGTCATGGTTGCGACTCTCTTTGTTCGCCAAGCCGCTCCGGGCCTGTCGTTCATGTCGGCGTTGGTGCGCACGACCGCATCTGCAGATGCAAGAACCAACAACAAGGCCACGACGAGAACAACCGCAGCAGAAGCAGCAGTTGCACGCGCCGAGCAAGCTGCTCTACTCAACGAGCAGACTGCGGCGCCTGCGATTGCCAACTGGACTCGATGGTGCGCGATACGCCTGCCCAAGGACTCGTTGCCACCCTGAAGCGGTTCGTCGACACTTACACACTCCCACCCATCCTTGAACCTTCTAACAAAAGGTCTAAATAGCCTCTCCGGCCACTCAGCGCTCCAGCCGACTGCCCAACACTCGCCGGATACGGATGCAGGACCAAAGCAAGCACCACCGCCTCCGTCATTATCACCGCACCACCACAGTGACCACACCGCTCAGGGCAATCCATGTAAGTCGACGACGACGCCCGGCCCAACGACCGCAGCAACAAGCAAGCATGCTCGGATTCTTTCATCGTCCACCCAACAACCAACACAAACACCGCCCGCCGCCCTTGAAAACCGCCAAATCCCGCCTCCGTCTCCCTCCCCCTCCACCGCCGCCGGCACATATATCCAAGACCCTTCACTTGGTATTCTGCTGCCCGGCACCATCACCCCCACAGCCACCCCTTCCAACACATCCTCGAACGCATCTATATCAACCGCCGTCATTGTCACCATTGTCCTGGGCACAATCGCCGGCGTCGTAACAGTGAGTCTGGTCGTCATTCTCATCAACATGCAGCTCCGCCGGCGAAGAAGAAGAGGAGGTCAGCCTTGTTCCCCCACGGAGAGCGACAAAAAGGGCCTCAGTGCGAATGCCAGTTCAACGGTGCTAAACTCGCCAGGTCTCGCGTCGCCGTTTCCCAAAATGACCACCTCGACGCCGCCAATGGCCCCGGGGACCGAAATCCCAGCCAAGGGCGGAAATGACGTTAGGCTAGACGAGTTGAGGCCGCCTCCGAGACTTGGCGAGAGAAGGTTCCATCAGATAACAAGGAGCGAGGGCTCCATCGAAGTCCGGCCATCGCGAAGCTTGCACCACACACGCTGGGGAAAGCCCTCTAGTCTGGGGAACATACCTTCTGCCAAAGACATGCCGTCCTATTACGTGGGTGATGGGCAAACGCATGACCATGCGTCCCCAGACTCGCGAGCACCAGGCCGTAGTCGTCAGTACAACCTTTTTCCTACGAGGACAACACCACCGGCCATCAAGACGCACAAACCAGCCGCATCAACATCCACCACGTCTACCCTCCAGGGAACAGGGGTGACTCCACCGCGGACTCCAAAGAGCGGCGTTCTCAGCCCAGTCAACGGCCTCGTGTCGCCGGGACCTCCGCCAACGCGGGCGCTGCCTTCTCCGCCCTTGAAGTACTGGCAGGTCAACCCCCTGTCACCACCGTTGGACTCGCAAATGGACCATGTTCGTCCAGAGGAGATTGGGGTAGCCATTGGGTCGCCCACAACAGAGGAGAGGAGGGAGAAGAGGCCGCGCTTGGATGAGAGCGACATGGAGAGGCTGGGCGGCACATACTCGCCCTTTAGGAGGTGATGTATTCATCGACATGAAACCATGAACCGTTTTGTATTTTGATATTGACTTGGCATATAATGATGGTGAGAGGAGTATGAAGTAATGGAATATGAGACATGTACGCGTTGGTGTATGAGCACGACTTGCACAGCATTTGGGTTGCGTTGGGTTGCGATGCCATGGCATTGGCATTGGCATTGGCATTGGCCTGGGGCATGAACGATTAAATTAGGACCACAGGGTACGGTTCACTACGCATGGTATGGCATTCGTTTGGGCGAAATAATCTGTTTTTTTTTAAATTTTTTTTTCAACCTCCTGTTGTATTATAAAACCGGGTCGTCTAGAGAAGCTAATTTTGATTCAACGTTATGCCCTCGTCGCGCCCTTTGCCCTTTTCGATGTGTGGTCGGCACCTTTGTTAGATGCCGTGCTCCTCGAGCGACCGGATCAAGTCGGTGATGCTGGACTCCAGGCTGGTCCATTCCATGCCCAGCACCCTGACGGTCGCGTCGTTGTTGTACCTGAAGTTCTCGCTGGCGGGCGGCGCCCCTCCGCCCTCGACGTCCCTGCCGGGCAACTTGCCCTGCCGTGCCAGCTCGGGAAACGCGGCCCACGCAATCTCAGCCATGGCGCGGTTCGTGAACCTGCCCCCGATGGTGAGGTGGCGCCTCCCGCCGGCGTCGGGCCTCTCCATGGCGCGGACGTGCGCCAGCGCCGCGTCGCGCACGTCGACCCAGACGGTGACGGGGCCCGTCGCGGGGATCCCGCGGTTCCAGGCGCCGGTGACGAGGGCCGCGGCGCGCTCGTTGGACGTGTTGATGCCCTCGAGGGAGGCGAGGTGGTGCGCGACGGGGCCGAAGACGACCGGCGGGCAGATGGTGGCCAGGTCGAAGCCGGGCTTCTCGCGGGCCACAAAGTCCCACGCCGCCTTCTCGGCCAGCGTCTTGGAGAGGCGGTACGCCGTGGCGGGCGAGGAGGCGTCGAGGTCTTGCGTCCCGACCGGGTTCCAGGACTCTTCGGTGAAGGTGTGGGAGCCGTCCGAGAGGTGCTTCTCGTCTAGGACAGCGGCAAACGACGACGTGACGACGACGCGCTTGACCGTCGGCGCGGATCTCTTGACGGCTTTGAGGATGCCGGTTGTGCCGATCACGGCCGGGTCAATGAGCTCCTTTTGGGCGTCGGCTGTGGGTGTTCGACCTCTTTGTCAGCGGCTGTTGCTGCATCTCATGCTGTATCTGCCGGGACGTGTTGTGTCCCAAATCTTTTTTTTTATATGTGTCAGAATGACTTACTCCATTTGAAGTGGAACGGACTGGCCGTGTGCAAAACCACCTCGATACCCGGCTTCTTGACTACTTCGTCAAACGCACCGTCCTTTGCAATGTCGCCGACTACGACGACTTCCAGCTGGCTGCCCTTGTCTTTGTAGGCGTCACGTATGGGCTTCGCCTTCTGCTCAGAACGGACAGTCGTGATGACCGTGTGACCTTTGCTCAGGAGCTGGTCTAGGATGTGGGCTATCACATCACGGCGAGGTTAGTATGGCGTTATCTGGGCTCCGGCGTGGTTGTTTTCCGCTGGTGGCATCACGGGCATGACAATGGATGAGGTGGGGAGAGAGGGGTTGCGCCATCTCCAGTTATTCTCAAAGCCAACAATAACCTCTTCAATGCTTTGTGAGGTAGTGTTTGAATCGACGGGGTATGCACCTACCAGCTATGAAGCCCGAGCCGCCTAAAAATGTCGATGGTTATCAGTTTCTACATTCCTACTGCCGGATTCCCAATTCAATTCACTGCTCACCAGTAAGAAGGACCTTGGTCATCGTGCGTCAATTGGGAGATTCGACAGTCAAATCGGGCAATGTGAGTAAATACAATTTTGGAATGAACATGATTTTGATACACTGGGTTTGCCCCGACATATTTATAAGCCAGCCCCCCCTTCCCTCCATGAGAGCCATTTCTAAGCCTTGACGTCAATATTCATTTAGCACCCTTATGTCCGGTGGTGGAGATAACGTCGCCCCGATGTTAACCTGCCTCGGCACCCTCTAGCTAGCCCTTCCCCACGCTCCCGTCGTGGGGGTTGCGTTTTGGGTATTGACAAATGGCCGACATGGCTCCCAGAGCCGTAATTTTGCCCAAATACTTCAGACAAGTTAGCGACATCCACCGTTGAACAAAAACCGTCAATGTTTGTTCGTACCTGACTCCAGTATAAACCAGTCATAGTAGATCCTGGAGAAACAGTGATTAATTGTTTCAAAATTTGGTTACCCATTTTGCTTTCCTCCAGGCCAAAATGAAACGTTCGTTTGTGATTTGTCGACATCTGTACATTGAGAAGATATTAGCTCCAAGTTTCCCTTCTAAAGAAATGCTGTCAAACGATGAAACTTGCCCTGAAAGCTACGAGCACGTCCCCCATGTAGACCATTCTCATCTTATCGTTACTGCGAAGTTGAAGAAATACTTCGATGGTGTCGATTATTTCTCCACCAGGCCCATCAATAGAAAAGTGCATGACGCTGTCGTGCGGCCCAGCCTTGTATTTTCCTACTCTGCCCATCTTCTGTGGAGTATGTATTGCATAGTGAAATCTGATGCCACGGATTGCTGCGAAACATGTCACAGACACGCCCGTTACGCTACGAAGATGCGATCCATTGCGACCACCAAATTCGGTCCAGCAGAGGGGTCGGTATCTCGTATTGCATGATTCTGCTGCAGTAAAATAATCGTCATTAAGATTTAAGCCGTTGTAAGGCATTCGAGGGTACCAAAAAGCTGAATGCCTCAATGAGACCTTGCCGGTAGTTTTTTCTCCGGAAAGAGGGCCGCTGTGCTCCGTGATTGCCAGGCTGACCATTTTGAAGCTCTGCAGAAATCTAGTCAGAAAGCTTCTGGCAAACTGAAGCAAGAAGGTACATAAAAAAGGCCGACTCGAGTTGCACGTACGTCAAATCCGGCTTTGATAGACTTTATTGAGGTAGACACCACGAGTCGCTGTGTCTTTGGGAGATCAGATGGGTTCCCGATCCATCCCAACGTTTTCCCATTCTTTAACACACACTGTATAGCTTGAATACCAGTGGCTCCTGCCGCCAAATTGAACCCTAAGATAGGTTCTGTAATGTCCAGATATATCTCTTGTCCATGCGTGCTGAAGCCCAGACACGCATCTCTGTCTGGGCTTCGGCGTAGTATTCGGATGCCAGCTATATACTGAACATTGTCAAGCCGCGTAGTAGAGATTGCCAACTGATAAGGCGCAGTTGGCAAGCTTGCTTCTATCTCTTGAATCTGGCGACAGCATTTGGCGAGCCCGGCCACGAGGATGCTTTCATTTAGGTTGGCATTGGCCTCAAGCCATTTCGCAGTTCCCTGGTATGGTGTAGGTGAGCTTGGTGCCTCGTTCCATTTTGATGACAGAACTTCCAAGACCTGCTGGATCAAACTCATAATTCTTGCCCTATTCCGCAGGCCTGGGCTACACTGTCTTCTAGTTGTACGACGATATATACTGCGCCAGTCCAAACTGGGACCCCATTTTTGGGACTCAAAGAGCCAAGAGCGTTCGCCGGCTGCCGAAAACCTAGACCTCCAGAAGTGCTTGTTGTAGTAGACCGAAACAAAGCCCCGAGAGGCTTGGCGGGCCCTCAAAACATCTACCGTCGGCAATAGAGACGCAATGGTGAGGCACAGCGTCTCAGGAAGAAGGGCAAAGCAATCATTAGCAGCGGGTTGGCGGTACGGAATAGCTCTGCTAGCCCATTGCGGACGCCCTTTCTGTTTGGTAAGAAGCCGCTTGATCTCCGAAACCCTGCAGGGATCTTGACTAGCAATGTGCCATAATTCAGAATCTTTAGAAAGATATTCGAAATGGCCCTCCCAGGGATAGTGGTCTTTGTGGTTTTTATGAAGAAAAGCGCCATCTTGAAAACCAGAATTTAGAAGCCAAAAGACATTTTCAAGTGGAAAAGTCAGCGATTCAAAAAGGCCAAAGAGACGGCCCAACGACACCGGCTGAGGACAAGAGGTCTGGTCCAACAGAGACCAGCAAGCTTCGTGCAACGGGAAGCCGTGTAGACGGTTGACTGGAGCCTGGCCAAGCACGCCGATGCGCACGCTTTCCGCCGCATGCGGCCCCCTATTATCCCAGCGACACTCGCGATTCAGGGGTGTCTTGAAGTCACTGGGATCAGAGGGATCGTGGAACCCGACGCCGCTGATCTGGACATCGGCTTGTCCTCTGTACACTACCGAAATTAGGCCAGCTCGTCCCCAATGGGAAGCACACCATCAACTCTTACAGATTCGGAATTGACTGGCCCAGGCGACAGGGCCAGAGGGATCGGTGTCGTAGCTGCCAATAGTGAAGCTGCATAGGGCACAAGGAACGAGAGGGCCACCGGGTGGCATGGCGAAGGGTGTGTAACAGAAGAATCTCGTCGGAGGCGAGTTTAACGAGCAGCTGGGTACGAATAGCCTTAAAATTCAGAGGCGTCTTCGCAGTTGATGGTGAAAGAAATCCATGTGAGGGGTCAAGTTACATTTGATTCTTCCTGACAAAAATATTCTGCAGAGTGCATGAAGATGCGGAAGGTGCCACGGGCATGCGTCTGTCCAAGGAAGTCGCGAAAGATCCAAAGGCGCCAGCTGGCAGCAGTTGCCCGTTTATCGGTGCACGCACATTATATAATAGGTAGACGCGTAGGCAGACTCTATTAGGAAAAAAATTGACCTCATAGCCGACATTTGTTTCCGTACCAGAAACCGAATCATCAGTTGATGGAGTGCCCTGGACATGAGCTGTTGTTTTGTTTGATTTTGTTTCCTGAGGATGCAACAAGGAACCAACCGACGGGGGTGAGCCTTTGTTTCGGGCGCAGCCAGCTACGGCAGTCTCATCAGATATAGTCGGAGCACAAGAAAGCCAACTGATTATGATATGACATGTATTACCCGATGCCGAACAGATGCTGTAGAGGATAATCCGTACGCCGGTGTTTTTTCTTTCGTTTTTTGACGTATCAACATGTCAATATGGCATCTCCAGATTCGGATTCGGACGAGTGGGGCTGACGTGTAGATCCCCAGCCATGCGCCCATGCCTCTCTCGTCCACCAACCCGTTACCCAACATCTGAACACGGAGCCGGTCCAGTAAGACGCAGGCACAAACATCCTCGAACCTCGGCCCCGGATCCCCAAGCTGCCCACCTCTTCGCAGCCCGAGCCGAGCTCATAAAAAACCACATCTTGCACCCTCATCGAAGCCACTTGTCCTCCCACCGGCGGCTAGCCATCAATGTATGTATGCCTCATAAAGGAGCACAGAGCACAGACATCCGAAACATCAGTTCTCGCCGCCCCCGCTATTCGCCATATCTCTTAAGTAGCCGGGGCCGCCGCTGCATATGCAAATAGCTTTTCGCGACTAGGAGCCACGCATTCACCCACGAGTCACGACATCTTTGATCCCGCTAAACGCAATGGCAGACCAAGCTCAAAAAAGAATCACTGCCATCGGCCAGCAGCTTGAGCCGTCACCGGGCGGCCTCCCACGGATCGCCAAGGTGGCCGGCAAGTCCAATGGCCCTCGAGCCGAAGGCAAAGTCGTCATCATCACAGGTACGATCCACCATGATCCGAGATTCCGCACGCATCACCCGCCAGCCAGCAGATCACATCACCCACAGCGTCTCATCATGCAATTGGATAGGGAACCCAGGCTAACCTCGAACCAACCCGCGTTGCCCAGGTGCAAATTCGGCCCTGGGCATTGGCCGCGCAACGGCCCACCAATTTGCAGAGAATGGCGCCAAGGCAGTCTATATTTGCGACTACGCCGACTCCAACCTCGCTGCGCATAAGCAGGAGATGACGGGCCTATATCCGGCGGTAGATGTCCACATTTGGCAGTTCGACGCCGCAGACGAGGCCCAAGTCAAGGCCGTGGTAGATGACGCTCTTGACCGGTACGGCCGTCTGGATGTGTTCTTTGCCAATGCCGGCATCACGGGATTGAATGTCGTCTTCACCGAGTTCAAAGACTCGGATTTCATGGAGGTTCTCAAGACAAACACTCTAAGGTAAAGAACGAATTAAAAAAAAAAATAATAAAAAAACCTCTCACCGAACAGTCCCCCGGCCCCCCACTGTTAGCCATTTGGTTTTACGGTTCTTTTTATGCCAGCACTATATCAAGTTTCAGAACCACAAGCCTCACAAAGTAGTATCCACAACACGGGCTAATGCCGAGACATAGCGTCTTCCTGGCGGCAAAGTATGCCGCGCCTGCCATGATGAAAACATCGCCATCCAAGCCTACATCAGGCGGATCCATCATCGGAACCGCTTCTGTCGCCGGAATCCGTTCCAACGCCGGCTCGACCCCTTACTCAGCCTCCAAAGCGGCCGTCGTCTCTCTCGCCCAGACCATCGCGTACCAGCTCGCCGGTACGGGGGTCCGCGTTAATGCCATTTGCCCCGGTCTCATCGAGACGGGCATGACGGCCCCCGTGTACCAGGCCGCCAGGGCGAGGGGCAACGAGAAGAAGATTGGGCACCTGAACCCAACGAGAAGAGGCGGCCACGCAGACGAGATTGCGCGGGTGGCCCTGTTCCTGGGCACCGACGAGAGCAGCTATGTGAATGGCCAGGCCTGGGCTGTCTGCGGCGGGTTGAGCGCCGGACATCCATATGTTCCCGGACGGCTGAGCTAGAATCCCGTCGACCATGTGACTCGGAGGCTGTAGCACGAGGACTTTTTGGATGTCTGAAGATATAGTCTAACATTTAGTTTGGAAGGTGTGATTCGAACTTGTTTGGCACGTGCCGTGCATAATCTTCCTGATACGTCTTGGAACCTTAGAACCGGACCATTGTCCAAAGATGCCAAGTTTCGTCTTGAGTCGCCCGTCAAGAACAATCCATACATATATAGGTACATAAATACATATATCGCATGAACTGGGCAGATCCAGAGATCGGCATCTGGCAACCCATGCATTCTTGGGCCAAGTCCCGCTGTCAAAGTGAGCATTCAATGCATCCAGGAAATGAGGCCAGCCAGCGAGAAAAAGCCGAGACCAACACCCGCCAGTCATGATTGCGCCAATTTGCGTGACCGAATTAACCCATGTTCTCATTTGCAAGCTGAGCCGTCGCAAACCAGAACCAACCGGGTTGTTTTAAGGTCAACACATCAAGCATCGATGTGACCCAACTCCACAAGGAGACCATTGGCCTCCGCGCCGAAACTTGAACCCTGACAACCACTGGCGGGCGATGCTGTTCTTGTAGTCATATCCGTTATTGGTAGTTTCAAATACAGGGCAGCACGAAATAATGGTATGTAGGCATAAAGGAATGTGGAGCAACATGTATGGTCTACGAAAGTGTAGCACGCAAACTCTGGCTGTCTGGGACGCGAACGTTCTTTTTACTTCCTATCCCACTCGGTGTTTTGGGCCATGGGCTCGCACGGACTAAGAGCATCAAAAAACAGGTTTCTTGGGTGAATTGCTCAAAAACCTACCCAAGCTTCTTTCATTGGATCTACACTGCGCCTTGAGAGACACCCTAATGGGGTATTAGCCCCGGTTCCTATTCCACAGCAGATGTTACCTTGGACGAACATGCTGTTGGAATTTGTAACACCGCGCGTTCCATGCAGGAAGAATTCCAAGGCGCAGGTTCCGGTATCAGTTCCGAAGAAGAAGGGAACAGCAGTTGCCAAGAGGATCATTGCAAAATGTCGCAATTATGCAGAGATGAGACTCATCAACAAATCGCTGGTGACGAAATCATAACGGGGACAATGAACGGGGTTCTGTATGGAGACTTGGTAGCAACTCGTTGATGCCTCGGAGTGTAAGAGAGTCGGTTGACCAGTTGAGCGAGTATAAAGGCAAGACGGGGAACGCCCAGATATGTCTCGTCCGTCGCCATCCAACAATACAAAGAAACTGATAACAGTAAATTGAATTTCACTGTTTCAAGACAAATATGATTTTGCCCTCCCTCACAGCGGCCTTGGCTTTCTCAGCCGTCGTATATGGCCATCCTGAGACTGAAGAAGAGCGCCAGGCACAAGCCGCAACTCTTCGTCGCATTGCAGCACACTCCAAGAGAAGTCTTGCCAACTGTGCTGATTCCCCTGCTGCCATTGCCCTCAAGGAACGAGCTGTAGCTCGTCGTGCTGCTTGGGCTGATGAGCTGCGTGTGAAGAGAGGACTCAAGACTCGTAAGTTACAATTCTCGAATTTTGTTGGTTGAATAATTGTACTAACACAAACATGTCAAGGCGCTGAGCGTCGAGGTCCCAAGGAGCTTGAGAAGTACCTTGATCTCTCCCATAACGAGACTGCCAAGGGATACAACCTTGATACTCCTTTGGATGTCCTTTTTGGTTCCAACGCGAGTTGCATTCTTGTCCCGGAAACTATCATTGGCCCATACTATGTTGAGGGCGAGTCCTTCCGGACAGATGTTACTGATGGAGAACCAGGTGTTGCTTCACACTTGGATTTCCAATTCATTGACATCAATACGTGCGAGGCAGTTCCTAACCTCATCATTGACCTGTGGCACGCCAACTCCACTGGTGTCTATTCTGGCGTGACGGCTGAACTCCAAGGTGGTTTGAAAACCAATTTCGGCCGCGGCATTCAGCAGACAGACAAGGACGGCGTGGTGCAGTTTAGCACAATCTTCCCAGGCCACTACATTGGTCGAACCAACCACTTCCACGTCATGTCCACAGACAATGCCACCATCCTGTCAAACGGAACTTTTGAAGGTGGCACTGTTTCGCATATTGGACAGGTTTACTTTGACCAGTCTCTCATTGCCGAAGTTGAGAAGAATGAGCCGTACATTCGAAATCAGCAACCGGTCACGAACAATCGCCAGGATGAATTTACTGGTGATGAGGCGACCGAAGACTACGATCCATTCATGAAGTATACTTACCTTGGCGACGGGGCTGAGGAAGGTCTTTTGCTTTGGCTCACGATTGGACTCGACATTACTACCAACTACAACGCCAACGTGTCTGTAGCCTCAAAATGGCACCCAGGTGGTGGCACTGATGAGGGCGGAAGACCCAAGGAGGAGGAGAAAGCCTCCTTCCTGTAAGGCAAAGAAAGAATAACTAAATGGGGGTGCTTAGCTGAAAATGAACCGTCCTGTAAATCGTCGAGCTGTTCGATACAACTTGATAGAATAGAATCGACACCATAGAATAGAGTAGACCAGAGTAGAATAGAAGACCTTCGCTTGTATTTTGTATGTCTTTAGGAGGAAATGAATGCTATCAAATGTCAGCCTCCATGACGACTTGTACGGGTGTTGCCTGTGCAATCTTGTCGAGCATGATATCACGCCACGCAATGAAGTCTGATTTTCTAGCCTCGCTCAACAAGTCATATCGTTCTTGGAGCATTGTATCCGCACGCCGGGTAGGCAGGAGAGCTTCTGAGTTCTCGACATCATCATCTGACAGGCCTGCATCTGTCCTTACGATAGAGCTAATCACGTCAACAATCCCATCATACCAATCGCCAGCCAACCAATCATTCTCATTGACCTTGGCCACAGCGGCATCAAAGTCTCGAGACTTGAGGTCACTCCAGCCTTCCCAGGCGTCGGATTCATCCACATCAGGTACGGCAACTTCTTGATTGGCCTTGGCCACAAGAGCAAGAATCTCTTTTCGAAGCGGTACATATCCCTCGCGGTCAATCTTGGCACCAGACGTGATTGATCGAACACGCATAATGACGAAAAAGTACACGGCTGCTAATAGGTCGGTTACGTGATGAATAACCCACTGGTCTTGGGTTGGGCGGCCCTCTTGTGTGAGGATATGCTCCATACCAGCGAAAACCGTTGGTGCAAGCCGTTTGTGATCCGACTCGGCACACATAAATCGAATGACTGGTTGAATCCAAGGGTGTAGATGGCCATTCGAGTTTTGCGAGTCGAGGATGTGTCCTTTGGCAGGGGTACCGCCATTTTTTGGTGTCGTACGGAACGGAGCCAGGGCTGCCTCCTTTGTTGGAGTTCCTCTTGATGGTATCCGGCGGGTCTCCGACTTTGATGGTGTGTCCTTGTCTCGTTGCTTGGAGCTTGGAGCTCGATTTCGGGTTGGCCTTGGTGTAGCTGTAGGATTGGGCAAGATATTGTCCAAATGGGTATACAGCCGTTTGTAGATACGCGGGGGAATTGGGGGGCGAGGTTCAATAGGTGGCAAGTCAAGAGTGATCTTCAGACTACAAGAGTGTCAGCAGGTATATGGCGGTATTTGACACGGTACCATACTGACCGATCACAAGCTATGTTGGCACATGCATATTGTCGAGCTATCTCTTCCTCTGCCTTCAATGTGCTTGCCCGGTGTCGAGATTGGGCAAGCAGTGATCCTGCCAGTTCCACAAGGGAGGGTGGTAAATCTGAGCCATATGTCGGCATCATTGATAGCAATGCCTGCTCAATTTGTCTACTCATGTTGACTTGCGGCTCGACGCGAGGCACCACGCGTGAGCTTGCTAAAATGGCGTAGTGATTCAGGTGAGAAAACTGAGATCAAATTCCACAAATAAACAACCGCTTGGGCCAGAACTGATTACGGTGTATGAGTCTACTCTTGCAGCTTCGAAAAGCAGTTGTACTGGTACCAGGGGTGTCAATGGTATCACTGGGATATGTGGCAGTATGATCCCAAATGAAGTTGCGATGCTCTGTCAGCAAATTCCCTGTTTGCGCACCGCTTATCGATAACAGATCTCCACACTCCACCTCCATGCTGGGTTGTTTGACGAATGCATGGGGCTTCGTCTCGGAGCAAGAGACATGCAACGCTGAAAACCCCCTTCTCGCCGCTGATTGGCCAATACCGATCCCTCAATGTTCCCAGCGCTCGAAACTGCCGGAGTCGCCAGCAGTCTGCATCCGGCGCCTGTTTCCAAAGTTGGTTATCAACCGCCGCTCAAAGCCAAATCGACCGAAGGCGGGCCCCTTTCAGGGAATCTACATTAACCAGCCCATCGTACATCACAGCCCCCAGCAATTGAGTGCCCTTGAATCCCAATTGCACACTTGTCAAAGCCCGAACCATGCAGACCCCGTTATTACTAGCAATTGCTCTCTCGGGCTTGGCCAGCGCCCACGGCAACCACGGCCAGAAGCCCTTGGTCAGTGAAGATGCCACATGGATGGAGAAGCACATGGCCGGTATGTCTCAAGCTCAGCACTCACACCCAGATCGGCATTCCAGGCCATCTAGCGACCCAACAAGAAGAGTTCAATCGCTGACATGAATCGATACAGAGGAGCACCACATCGATTCCTGGGATACTGGCGCCTTCTTCGCCCTCCACGACTACAACTCCGATGGTGCCTGGCAAGGCGAAGAAATCATGCGCACCTACGGCCTAATGGACCCTTCGAATAGGGATATGTCGCACGACAAGAAGCTAGAGGTCCTGCAACACCTCATGGGTCTTCTGGACAAGGATCACGACGGGGAGGTCTCGGGTAAGGAGTTCCAGGAGTTTATCGACGGGGGCGAAACGCTCCCTGATATGGGTACTGGGCCGGGCCATCATGGTGACGACGAATACGAGTATGAAATCCATCACTGGGAAAAGTATCACGATGAGAATACAAAACTGGAGGACCTGACGCACCCGGAGGATATTGAGCATTTCAAGCACCACGAAGAGTTGGAGAAGGCGCAAGAAGAACAAGAGGCAATGGATAAAAAGTCGATTATCGAAGAGAACATCCCCGCCAAGTTTCGGAGACATTAAGCTCAAGGGGGACGAGTATCTCGGCGTTGAATCAGATGATTGGTTGGATTTGTGGAATTCTTTCGAATGGGATTGCGTGGAGTAAGTTATTGAATGATAGATTCAGAAGCGAGGGGGGGGAATATACCGGTGGCGCATAGATATGGAGGGGACTGCTGTATCAACATTTTTCATGAAGATTTTGTAACAATACGCACATCAAACACACAATGCCATACGCCAGGCGCGTATGTCTTGACCTTTTCTACCCTCTCCACCGTAATCGCTCTCGTCAAACTCTTCTCATCCTGATTCTCCCTCAACAGAGTCTGTATCTCGTCTTTTCTGGAATCAATCTCAGCATCGCCCACATTCTCATGAAGATGCAGCCACGCCTCCCCCCCACGAATTATCGCATTCCTTGTCAAAAATAGTGAGACATCCCACGTCAATCTACTCGTAGGCAACAATCCGCAATTGACATGCCTCACGTCGTGCAGCCATTCCCCCTCCTGCTTCATGTTCTCAGCTCTCCAGCGCGCATTTTCATTACTCTCCGAAAACACCACAATCGAAGCAGTACTGTTCATAATCTCCTCTGTAGATTGCTTCAGCTTCTCCCCCTCGATAACCTCGACAGTCCACTTATTCAAGTGTGCTCCACGACGAAGAGCCTCCACGCTCCACGGGTTAAGTTCCCAGCAGAGCACCCTGAACCCCAGTTTCGCGTAGCAGAATGCAAAGTATCCGATGCCGGCGTATAAGTCTACCGCCCATGTATCTTGTGACTTATTGCCGTCCTTTTTCTTCCTAGGCACCGCTGGAAACTGGAGCAGGCGGGCTTTTTCTTTGACGTTGCCTCTGCTGAACATTGTCCAACGGGGCGCCCACGTTTGATATATCCCATTTTGTTTGGTAGATACCCAAAAGGCCTTTTCGAAATCTTCGTTGGAAGGAGAGATGCTGCTTGGGGCACCGGGGCCGAAATCACCGTATAAAATTCGCAAGCCACTCGGACTGCGAATGATGTTTTCCTCTTTTCTTTCTTGACTTTGCAGCGGGATGCCTTCGTTGACCGCCAAGTGTGTCAATCGCAAGTCTGACTTGCCGGTCTTGGAGAGTTCTTCCAGAATCAACTCCCAGAGGAAGTCGGTGGTCGCTCCGTTGTGTCGTTGGAGCTCCGTGGTCCACGAGGCACTGGTGAAGCTGCCGGCGGGTAAAAGCGCCATAGGTTCGTATATAGTGAACCTCTTGGGTGCATGTTCTCCTAGACTCATTTTCCAGGCCGTAGAATCTTCGTTCACTGGAGGGTTAAGAGAGGTGAGCCATGCTGCAATGGCGGTTTGGATTGGGTCAGTGTGAGGTTGAGGCCTAGGCATTCTGCGGTTCAGCTAGTCGTACTTTGGAACAGCATCGAACTGGATGAGATATGAGAGTAGGTTCGAATAAAGATCATTCATATCGTTTAATGGCAGTAACTTGTGTCTTGTTCCACTTTAAATGCGCTTGCCATGTCTGCCTTGACGCGAGCGTGGTGACAAAAAATTGAAAGTCAAAGTGATAAAAACGGCCCACAATCTGCGTGAAGGCTGGAACCTTGGGCTTCAACTCAACCCGCGATGAGGCCACCATTACACCTTTGCCAACGTTATTTGAGTAGCCAAATAACCATAAATGCCGTTATAATTCATACCACAAGTCATGGATATCTCAATCGTATGCTAGTTTACATCTAAAAGCTTTCTCCCAGCCTTTAATTTCGCAACAACCCTCTAACATCGTGCATTACAAGAAATAGTCACTCGGTCCTCTCCTGCTCGCAGGAACGTGCCTCTGGTCATCAGGCACGGCCGAGAATATACTGAATCTTGGGTTCAAGTCTTTATCTACAGTCATGATCGAGGCAACATTACCGCACCTGTAACAGTAGTTCGGCGCAGACCAAACTGTCACAACAGAGCTTTCGGCAAAATGATACTGCCCATGGTTAGCACCCAATGCGTAGCAAAAGTTATTCTCTGTCCGAACACATCATACCTTGTAGCCTTCATTAACAAGCTGGTGAGCCCGCGCAATCAATTTCAATCCATTCACATGATTGAACTCGGTAGCGACCTTGTCGCCAAAAAGCCAGCCGGCACCGCGCGGGCTGATAGCCCACGTTTCAACATCTTCGGGATCTGACCAGACCAGGTCGCAAAATGCTCCTTCATGAGGAATCTCCTGGGCACGAGCAACAACACGGATTTGATCTATCGTTCTAATTTCGGGACTGAGTCCGCCGTGTACACACAAAACTTCGCCGTCGACAATAGCTGCAAGGACAAGAAAGTCAAAGACGTGGCAGCAGGCCTTCCACACAGAAGCGTTGCCATATTTCTGCTGGCACTCCTCATAAAAGCCGTAGACTTGTGTGATTTGCCTAGATTCGTGGTTGCCTCGGACAAGCACAATTCGATCGGGGTATCTGTTTCGAAACTGTTAGCCGTGGAACGGTCATTCGATTTGAAGCAGATGGTACCTACTTGGCCTTCAAGCACATGAGCAAGGTAAATGTCTCCAAACTAAAATAGCCTCTGTCGACAAAGTCTCCCAGGAAGACGAAGCGAGTCTCGGCGCTCTGAGCGGAGGTGACATTGGCACCTGACAGCGCGGACCCCGGACGAGAACCGGCGACGGCGTCGGCATCATCTTCGCCCTCGGTACCGCCCGCACCAGCGTCACCTACGGGGGACCGCAGCTTCTTCCTGAGCTTTGGATTTGTGATTTCGCTCGGCGGCTCGATATCGTCGGACGTGATAACAGTGGTCGCGGTCTTGGGGGCCTGGACATTGGTCTCGCCCGGCATGCCCCCAGACACTCGGAACAACTCCAAGAGATCATAAAACTGGCCGTGGATATCTCCGCAAACTGTGACAGGTGTGCAAACGGGCTGAATATTGGACTCTGTGTTCGCCCAGTCAGCGCGGCTCGCGCGTTGGGTCAGCGACAGAGCCAGTGCCTACCTTCCATAAGAATCTCCTTGACCTTCTCGCACAACTCCTTCATGGCCCTCTCAGGTAGGTAGTGACATTGTTTGGCCTCTTCGAGCCATTCGTCTAGACCGGCATTGGGACCCAAGTTGGCGGGGCCAGGCCGAGGGATGTTTGTCGTCATATTTTATGAGGATTTGGATGTGCGCAGGGCTCGTCGTAATGGCGGCCGCCGGGAGGATTATCACGGCCCGCCACAGTAGTAACGGATAGTGGTAATCCCGTGGAGAGGATGGACCAGATGGATGAACCGTCCGGCCTTTGGTTTCGAGCAACGTGAAGTTGTAATCAGGCCTGGAGCAAGGAAGCGATAATCGGATCTTCTTCGGGGTCTGGTTGATGTCACAGTGGAAAGCGCCTGTGGAAGCTAAGCTGGTAGCACGGGCACAGTGGGTTTGGGAGGGGAGGCCAGCTGATTACAGCGGTTGACATGGCACCTGTGGCCACCAGACTTCAGATGTTGACCAGCCAGAGTTCAGCCAAATGTTCATGTGCTTGCTTATCTGAGCATCTGCGGCTTCCCCCCTTGCAGCCCACGCTGGAAAGGCTCTGCGTGCCTTGGACGCAGCTCATACTGCCACCACATCCATGCTCTGCAAACTTCTCTTCGCTCGAGCATTTGTGGCCTGCTGCTATTAACCTTCTCATTGTCTCTCCACGCAAGAGGATGTTACTTCGATGGCTATCTAAATGCAGCCACGTCTACCGACCAAGGTAGGTAACTACATGTACTCACTAAGCCAACTCTATCCGTCCACGTGACCTGCCTGCGCGCACCGGAAACGAATAACACAGAAGCCAAAGCTCTTGGGGCAGAACCAGCTCCACCAATCTGTGGGGCTTCTGAGGGCCGTAACAACTCAAGGCCCTTTTGACTTCACTTGCGCTTTAGCTTGCGAGCTTTGGATGTTTCGTTTTCTGTAAGATATTTAATCCCATCGCCCACGCTGTCCTGCAAGATTGCCGACTGTCAACGTAGATCTCTCCGCACCCAGCATGCGCCATGTCCACACAGCCCCCGCAAGTCCTTTCGCGGAAGGCAAACGGTCCATCCAGCAGCGCAACCAGCCAGCCGTCTGACCAGATCAAGGTGAGACAGCGAGTGAGAGCATCACAGGTATGTCGCGACCAGTCCTTCGCCACACGTCAAACCCCCGGCTTCTGACATGGAGTTGAACAGGCCAAGGACAATGACACTGGCGGCAATACCTTAAAACCTGCCAAGGGCAAGGGACCGGCTGACAGACGAGGAGGGGCATCCCACAAAGTAAGCCTGTCCCTTTGAGAGATTCTGGACATGTGAATCCCCGTCAAAATCGGATGAAAATCTAACTCGACTTAGAGTGCGAATGATGGGGAGGTGGCGCCAAAGGCTCCGCGATCCAAACCTCAAAACGAAGGAGAAAAACTGGTGATTCGTCGTCTGCCACCAGGTATGACCATGGAGGAGTGTATTTCTATTCTCGGACCGGAGTGGGAGATCTCCAAGGGCAAAGTCGATTGGTTCTCCTACGTCCCTGGAAAGATTTCCATCGAGTATGTCAAGCCCAGAGTTTTTAGATATTGTCTTCCATGATACTGACTCTCGTCAACCAAGCCCCTCAAAGCCTTCTCGTCCCGGTCGGGCATATGTTCATTTGGTGCGGAAGGATGACATCATGCCCCTCAGCGAGGTTGTAAGGAACGCGACATGGGAGGATGCAAAATCAACATTCACGAATCCGTCATTGATTGGCCCGCCCGTGTTGGAGTTTTCAATTTACAAAAAGGTTCCAGGCACCAAGAAGCGCACGGATACTCGACAAGGCACCATTGATCAAGATCCCGAATTCATGGCCTTCCTTGAAGGGTTGGCCAACCCTGCACCGATGAGGGAGAGCATCGATGTCGAGGATGCCGACGAGTCTGCCAAAGTAGAGGTCAAAGTGATCACCACCCCTCTGGTCGAGTTTTTGAAGGAGAAGAAGGCCAACAGGGGCAAGGATGGATCCGGCAAGAACTCCAAGTCTGGAAAAGGAAAGAGTGGCGCCAAGGACGACGACTCCTTCGGTAGGAAGAAGGGCAAGGAATCAAGAACCGAGAAGCAGGACAAGACGCCTAAAGAGAATGTCAAGATTCTTACTAAGAAGGCAGCAACTGAGCAAGCCGCGGAGGGGGCGAAGAAGGTGGCCAGCGAAATTGCGACAGCCAATGCCGCTGCTACTACAGCTGCAGCGGCCACTGATGCGCCCAAAAGCCGACGTGCTGGCATCGCTGCCGCCGCTAGAATACTGCAGCGCGATCTTGGCCTTAGCCCTGGCAGCGCACATAGAAGAGCACGTCACGATGCTGCCAAGGCCGAGGCTGATGCCAAGGCAGCAAGCTCTTCAACCAAGGACGATAACGGTACAACCGCAGATGTTGCCAATGCTGCCAGTTCTACTGCATCCGCAGCATCTCCCGCTGAGGTCATAGTACAAGCACCGAAAAGTCGCCCCGACAGCCCAGTCGCCCCGAAACCACAGGCTGGACGGAGAAATCGCGGTGGCAAAGGTGGTGCTGAGAAGGGTAAACCGGCTGCTAACGAGATATCGGGTCCGCAACCGACTGTAGCCAACCCTCCGGTTATCTTGAGGAAGAAGAACGACTCCGAAACCAACAAGAAAACTGCTGAACCCCAGGTCCAAGCCTCTGGGCCAGTGACGAACTCGAATGGCAACGGTAGACAAGCTGGCAAAGAGAAAGCTAACAGCAAGCTAGCCTCGCAAAAGAAGTCACCCGCTGTCTCAGCAAACGCAACCCGCGCCTTTATTAAGCATGTCAATGCTTCGCAAGGAGTGAACGACGCAAAGCTTCGAGAGGCTCTCGGCGTATTTGGAACCATTACGCTTGTTGAGATTGACAAGCGCAAGGGTTTTGCTTATGTCGACTTTTCTGAGCACGAAGCACTGGTCAAGGCTGTGGCTGCCAGCCCCGTTCAGGTTGGTCAGGGAAACGTACAGGTGGTGGAGCGGAAGGATAAGAAGCTCACTGCTGCTGCGGCTGCGCCAGGCGGCTCAGCAAAGGATGACCAAACGCCAAATGGAGAGAAGGAGAAGGAGAAGGAGAAGGCGCCTGGCGGTCGAGGCCGACGAGGACGCGGCGGCGGTAAAGCTGCCGCCGGCACAGCGAATGGTCAGGCAACTGCAGGCCCTACCCTGGCAAGCACCGGGGGGTGAGGATACAAATGCCACGAGAAGGGCATACAATGATAATTTGATTCAACACAGCATCCTTGATTGGGTGGGCCATGTGCAGCATTACAATATGCTCGCCAAGCATCCAAACGTGCCAAACGATGGTACAGAGGAAACAGACATGCCGCACAAGTACGACATCTGACGACAGTTGGTAGTTGGAGTTGGACGGACAGCGCATTCACCCCCAGCTAGTGCTCGGAGCACAATGCCCAAGCACGCCAGTAGGGATGAATACACATGGATGAGAGAATAGCTCGTTACCGAGTACTAGCACTTTGTAAGAGGGGGGGCTTCGCTTCATCGGACTTTGACGGGGGGTTATATAGACCCATGTGAATGACTAGGCGCAGTGTCTTTTGAGTGAAATTGTTGTGCTCTTTAGTGGTTGTTACCCAAAGCTATGCGTACCATGACAGTGAATATGAAGCCGCGCGTCTGTGCCTAGTGAGAACTTGTCAAGCTGTCTACCGTCTCGACACCCTTTGCGTATGGTCGATTCTACGGGTTTGGAACTACTGAATTGTGAATCTTGCTAGTTGAGAGCTGAGAGATGCGAGCTAGCAAAGCCACTTATCCAACGCTTTACAAATTCAACATGGAAGGGTCTGGAGTCTGGCCGAACGGTGCGACCATGTTTGTAGACTCTGCGCCAAGAGTCACTGGGTTAAAAAAAAAAGTCGATGTTTGTCTTGGTAGTTCCTCTCCAGCAGGGACTGCTCCTGACGATAACCCCTTGGGGTCTGGACTACTCGGGTGTCGCATGGCATGCGCAGACGGCAAAATACTAACAAATAGAGCTCGAGGGCACTAGTTACTAATTACTCGCTAAACAGCGCGCCCATTGTTGTTCCAGATGTCGGGCCAGGAACTAACGCAAGTCGGTGCTGATGCTCGGCCGGTATGCAAGTCGCGCCTCAGGAATGCCGCGACAAGAGGCACCAGACGCATAGCGAGGTGCTCGCACGCAACAAAGAGCAGCCTTGCCGGCGTGCAGACGATGACTGCTGCTATGCCTGTGCGCAGATGGCGAGAGAGTCATCGATGTCCGAGTACACCTACCTGCACCTGGTCGGTCATACATGCACCCCGTTATGACGGATAGGCGGTGCGGCAACGCGGCCACAGCGAATATCGAATACATGCTGCGAGCATGACGTGGAAAGTAAAGGACGCGGCCAAGTTGAAAACATGCCATGCAATATCAGCCATCTTTAATTATACTAGTCTCCAGCAACAAAGTGAAACAAAACATGGCATTCTTTCTCAGAACAATCGCATCATCATGGCCCGCGACTTGGAAAAAGGTTAAAAAAAAGCCAATGCCAAGAGCCAAACGGGCTGCTCTTATTTTTATCTGCAGAGAGTGGGATTTGCTCTCCCGTCCTCGGAATGGCGCGACTAAGTGATACGGCACGAGTTGCAGTCGCAATCATCGTCACCCTCCTCGGCGTGTGCCGCGCAGCAACGACATTCAACTTCTGCGACGAAGCCAGCGCCAAAGAATACGCCTACAACCCTCCTCCCGAGCGTCTCATCGCTCCACGCAGGAACTGCAATCGCGGCAAGCACAGCAGCGTACGTTCTCCCCTAACGCTCCGGACCCAAAAGATCCTTCTTCCTCACGCTCTCTTATTCCCGTAGCCTCAAAGATGCATCTACCGACCGCCCGGCTCGCGGCTGGCCTCCATCCACGTCGGCAGCACCGGCAAACTAGCCGTCTTCATGCCGAACAAGATGGACGCCGCCACCGTCGAGCACGCCGTCATCATCGTCGCCGGGAAGCTGAGCAACGCAGGCCAGTACTGGCACAGGCTGCAGAACGTCACGGCCCTCCACGCAGCACGCCCCGACAAGACGCACCGCAAGACCATCAGCGTGGCGCCGCTGCTCTTCTCCGACCGATACACGCCCGGGCTACACGGCGACCGGCACCTCTCGTGGTCCGGCCCCCGGGCCTGGATCGCCGGCGGCGCGGCCAACTCCCCCCCCGGTAGCAACGCGACGTCCATCGACGCCCTCGAGGCGCTCGCCGACGAGTTCGCCTGCTCAGGCAAGTACCCCCTGCTGACCAACGTCACCTTTGTCGGGCAGAGCGCGGGCGGACAGCTGGTGCAGCGGTACGCGGCCCTCGCCAGGGACCGTCCCTCGTGCCGCGCGCATGTGCGCTACGTCCAGAACAATCCCGCCACATGCTCGTACTTTACCGCCGACCGTCCCTCCTCGGTCCAGGGCAAGGCCCTGCCTCCCGCGAGGTCCTGCGCCGAGAGCAACCTCTGGCCCTTTGGCTTCGACGACTTCCCCGGCACGGCGGCGGGAACCCTGGCCCCCGTGGACTACTTCCGGCAGTACACCTCCCGCGACGTCGTCGCGACGGTGGGATACAGGGACACAAACCCCTGCAGCGGCGACCAGGCCTGCCAGGCTGTCCTGCAGGGCGGCCACAAGCGGAGGGACAGGAACCTCATCTGGTATAGGTATGTCCACGAGCTGGCCCGGACGGGGGAGGACTTGACGGGGTTCCCGGGCACCTTCGGCGACCTCCCGGACTGGGGGCCGGCCTCCGAGAACCGCGTGGGCTTGCGACTGGCTCTTGCCAAGGACGCGGGGCATGAGTTTGCGCAGATATTTTCCACGCCCGTCGGTCAGTCGGCGCTTTTTGACGACTTGGATGTCCTGGAGGGGTGGCGGCCGGGGAAGTAGCCGCGGTGGTGTTTTGTGTCTTTTCTGCACCGCCTGCGTGGTTCCAGTCTTTTCTTTAGAGGCGGCGCAGTCGGGGAGAGGATTTTGGCCGATGTTTTTTTTCTGTTTCTTTCTGATTCACATCCCCGTGTATTTATTCGTCGGGTAGCTCCGTATGTTATCATCACCATTATACCTTGAGATGTAGTTACTAAAGCCCGTATGCACACGCGTCTTCTCCCATGGCGCATATGCTGACAAGAATTCATGTCTGCGGAAACACTGTAGAATCGACAAAGTCAAGCCGGCAGACAAGTCTGTGAGCGTGGCACAGGGACCACGGGCCAACGACGCAGGTCTATGCCGCCATGACGACGCACACCTACCCATCCGCCTGCGCCGAGACAATATCCAGCGACTGTCAGCATCTCATGAGAGGAAGCATTGCCTGTCGACCGTCCCGGGTGATCACACCCGAGGCAACTTGCCCAAGAGTTGCTCCTCGAAGCCAGCCCTCCCCCATGCTCGCCAATCTACACAGCCGTCAAAGACTCAAAGCCCTGACCCCCCCGACAAGCAGATACATCAAGACGGCAGCGACGAAGCCAACCGCCATGGCCTCCCAGTCCCTCGCAACTCCGGCAGCCCACGCCCTCGCATCCCTCACCCACAACACCTCCCCGGCATCCCTCCGACTAGCCCTCAGCCCCGGCAGGCCATCGATGCTGTCCACATTGTTCGCCTTCTGGTAGTCCCTCAAGGTGTTGCCCTCGGCCTGCTTGCCGGCCCAGTAGTCCATGGCCGGCCGCGCCTCAAAGACACACAGCTCGTCCAGCTTGGCCTCGTCGCCGCCCTCGGCGTTGTAGCCCTGCCGCAGCAGCTCGTCGGCCGAGGGGCCGCGATCCGCCCCCTCGCCAGGCTTGTACAGCCCCCTCTTGACCCGGGGCACGCCGAAGCCGCACGACGTCTGGACCTCCCAGATGTCGGCGACGATGACGGCACGGGCCCCGTCAAAGGCGGAGCGGCCGCCCCTGGCCACGGCGCGCACGAGGCCCTGGAAGTCACGGTGGTCGAACTCGACGACGCGGGCGGTGCAGAAGAGCCGCATGATGCGCGGCGCGTCGCCAAACGACATGAACATGAGGCACAGGCGGCCGTTCTCGTAGGCGTGCGCAATCGTCTCGCACCCGGACCCGGTGCGGTCGATGTAGGCGCAGCGCGTGGGCGACAGCACGGCAAAGTGCGTGTCCGTCATGCCCTTGGGCGACACGTTGATGTGCCGGGCGTGCTTGCCGGCCGAGCCGGTGAAGAAGACGGGCTGGCGCTGGGCCCAGGCTGCCAGGTCGGCGGACAGAGACGGGTAGAGCTTCATGGCGGCGGGAGTGGTGGTGTGTGGTGGTGTGGTGCGGCGGTGATGGTGATTGATGATGATGGTGCATGTGGTGGTGGTGAATCGTGACCAAGGCCGTGTGCGACGTTGGGGCGTGTGAAGTAGGGACTCGGGAGGGGTAGGTGGATGGGATGACGACGAGCACGAGCAGGTGACATGTCAAGGCACAGTACGGAAGTACGGAATGGCATTCTGAGTAATCGGTAACAATGGGTATTCGTTGTTGCAACAACGGCATTCCTCGCCTGCATTGGCTTGCGAGACAAAACCGTTACAAATCGACCAGCATTCATTCAAGCCCGGTACGACTACTACCTACATGTACGTAACATAGTAACTTCAAGACACTCCCCAAATAAAATTCAAGGCAAAAAGAAAACATCAAGGTATTTTGTCTAACGCCCAGGAAAAGGTTACATCTAAGATACAATACAACAACGCTGGCGGGAAAGGGGACACAAAAGAGGACCCAACAAGAATGAAACGAAAATACTGTACCAAAGCTGAATGATGCCTGCTAGGCACTCCATGTCGGCTTGATTTCCGTCCCGAGCGTCCATGTCGTTGAAGATATGTGCGCGGCGGTATCGGACCGGTTGACCAGACATTGTCGATGGCCAGCCCACGAGGTACATACTTTACCTTGAGTCTAAGTACTCAGACCTAGGTACTTGGAGGTATGCAGCGTCAGTGGGCTGAGTCATATCGACATGTATACTCCGTAAGTACTTAACATAGGGCGCTGTGTCGCCCGCCCTGGGTCCCCGGCAACGGACCGACCAGACTTGACCAGACCAGACCAGACCAGACCAGACGAGCTCATTCATGATGCATTCATTTGCCTGCCCGTCTTCACCCATCATCGCCCATGCTCGCAGCAGCAGGCACAAGCGGCTGCCCGGCAGCGATAGCCGACTCCAGGATGGGCAAACACATTTGCGCTTTGTAATGTGAGCTGCGCGCTGCAAGCCGTGAACCGTGCGCTGTGCGCTGTGCGCTTTCCAATGTGTTCCGAGACATGTGAGCTTGCAGAACAACGACAGGCACAACATTGCATGTCTGCATCTTCAGCTCGTGCCGGCACACAAAGCTTCATCCAGGCCCCCGTCCATGTCAGAGTCCCGCCCCCGCGATTCTGACATCAGAGTAGTACCAGCTACCCCACCTTCCCTTTTGTCCCGGTCCCGCCCCTCGAGCTCAAGTGTCATTTCATGTTTGGAACATGAGCTCAACAACCAAACTCCGTGACTGACTGGTGCACCGTTGATGGCAGTGCGGGGTCTGTCAATGTGAGAAAATGTGACACGACGTCGTCGTCCTGGCAAAGCTTTTGAGCTACCAAGACTTGTACCCCTTATGACAAAACGAGCCACAGCCGATGCATGGCTCTGCCACACCACGACAATTTTTTTTTTCTGGACTCGGCCAGACCAGACCCTTATTTTTTTTTTTTTTTTTTTTTTTTTTTTGCACCCACACTCCCGCCAACACCCCTCCTCCCACCCCCCAAAAAATATTCCCGGGTCCGCAAGGCCTTCGGGATGGCGTGTGGCGTGCGATTTGATGCACATAACCCCTTCTTTCCAACTACCTGGTCACTGGGTACGGCTGGTACTTGCAACCAGTCTCATATTCACCATCTGCCCCGTATAGCGCTGCTGTGTCTGGATTGTACATGTGTGCGTGTGTGCGCGGTACCGTAGAGTATGGCACGCCGTTGAACGCTGGCAACATGGCTGGCACCAGGCCTGGCGGCATGCGGCTTGGGGGCACAACTGGCTGCTCCGGTCCGGGTCCTGGCCCCCAGGGCTCAATGAAGCTTGATCTGCGGGTCTTTACGGACGAAGACGCCGTTGATGACTTGTCTTCGAACCTTCCCTTGAGTCGTTCTTTTTCTGCCGCCTGGAACTCCATCTTCTGGTTCATGTACTCGCTGTACGCTCTGGGCTCTTGAGATTCCTTGGCCTCCCTGGACCCCTCTCGACTCCTGCCCTGGTAGCCACGATCCTCGTGATGGTCCTTTCCGCTTGGCCTGTAGGATGCCCTTGTTCGGTCTGGGAGTGCGCTTGATGCAGAATGAGAACCAGTAGAACCGGCGCCGCTAGAGGTGGCCTGCGTGTTGTACCGTTCTTCCAAATCTTGGTGTTGCCTTAAAATTTCTTCATACTTGGCTGCGAGATCAAGGTTCGCGCTCCGGTAATCCTCGAGGCTGTTGAGTAAAGAGGCGTTTTCTTTCTTAGCAATCTGCAGCTGCGACTTATACGAGTCCCTTTGCTGCTTCAACTCATCCCTTTGCTCCTTCAACTCGTCCTTCTGTTGCTGCGTCTCCAGCAGCTTTTTGCTAACCTGCTCTAGGCGTGTCTTGTATCGGTCGCATTCAGAGTTGATTTTGTTCAATTCGGTATTAAATGCGGTGTCGCGAGCAGTGTCGTCGTATTCGCGACCTGCGCGTGCAACATTATCATCAGTTGGCGAGAGCACGGAAACTTGGCGCCGTGCTGGAATCGGACCCGGCTGCACCCCAGCGCCACTCGTCGTCTGAGCCCGGCGACCAATATTGGCCGAGGCTCGTTGCGCAGACGATCGCATGAGGGCGCGGTTTCGAGCTTGTGCTTCGTCTGCCTGTAGGTACAGCACAAGAGGGAAAAAAAAAAAGAACCAGGCAAGTAATAAACCTTGCTCCACTAGGATGGGGCCGACCGTAGCAGATCAACCGCGAAGATAGTACCAGGCAAGTTGCAGACGTTGCCAGTAAATCACGCTCGATGGGAAGAAATTTCCTCACGATGTCTTCCTCCTTTGTGTGCTTTTATAATTTCTTTCTTTTTTCTTTTTTTCTCTCGTTTCGTTTTGTTTCGGCTCAAAAAGGCAAGTCGCTTGGCCAGTGCGGATTTTCGCCAGTGACAGTGACTAGGTCAGGGACCGGAGCAGCGGTAAAGGAGCTGACAAGGGTCTGGTACTGCGTAGGTGTGGTATGACGCCGTGTGTAAGTTAATCAGAAGAGCCACCGTTGGGTTAGGACCAGGGATGATCAAATTCAAAGATGGGAGCCCAACCGGTGACAACAAAGTTGGCAAACTTCTCCTGTCGGCCAGAGTGTATTGTAGAGGCCAGGCTTCGCAGGAAGAAGAGTGATTCAAAAAGGAGGACATGAAGTATATTTATTCCTCCGGCAGACTAGCAGGCAGCCTGTCAGATTGCTGTTCAAGGCTTGACTAGAGGTGGGCGGTGCGCGTCTTGGGGGAAGGGGGGCGCAAGTGGGATGGCAACAAATCTGCAGTCCCTTGACGTCTTTTGCTGGCAGCGTTTGCTGCCAGCATCTGTCGAAAGCCTCGGGGGGACAGGAGTGCAGTGGTGTGCCCGTTCATGCGCTGCCGCTTTGTTTCGCGTCGTTGGCATGGCACACCCGACATGATGAGCAGACCACTCCATCAAGGGCAATTTTGTCAAACCTTGCCGACCTGACTGTAGGGAGTACTCCGTACTTGGCCCAAACTTGCAGGGCCGTGATTTCAAAGCACAAGGATTTCGGCTGTGAGTGAGCTTGACGCCAAAGTAGAAGTACCTTTGAGAGCCAGGCTGGACGTCTGGATTATTGGACTTTTGGCCGGTCATGATAGACCAATACTCCCACTTACACTCAACCATGAGCCGGCCCCACCACCCTCTTGATTTTGTACACGCTACTCCGTATCTTGGCGTCCGAAAAAAAAGTCGAAAAAGGTGATACCAGCAGCACCCTCCGTCCGTCTGAACAGGACCATGGCCATGGCAACGACGCCCACCTTGACCCAATTGGAGATGAGTGGCTGAGTGTGGACAAAACAGTCGCCGCTTCCATTAGGTATGGTGGTTGGTTGCCTTGTCGCGATGCCCCTCGTCGACCCTCCTTGACAATGGCTCTCCCCCCCCATCATCTCGGTCACTGTCGACGGTTTGACTCTGATGTGCACCCTGATTGTCTACTACCCTGAAATCACCCCGGCCGGCGCTAAGGCGGGCCGCCAGGCAGTTTGCCCAAAGCCATTCCTGGGCAGCCTGCGTACCCACCACCTTCCCAGGCTTCGAGCCGTTGGACTCGGTTCTCGATGCATCCGAGTGTAGGGTTTGTCGGCTCGACTGTCTGCGATACACCACGGATGGTGTCGGGGGTGGATGTTTCGCCGTTGCAGCCTGGGGTCGCGCCCGCAACGGCCTGGGAAACAGCCCTCACTTGCAGCGGTGACTCACGTTTATCGTAATGGCCAGAAGCTGGCTCAAGCTCATGACAGATGTCTGCATTTGCCTTGCCCGTGGAAGAGAAGAGAAAGGGAAAACAATCCTTCTCTTGGCATCTATGTATCTAGCCCCGTGGGAAGCGGCGTGCGTCGGAATCCTGACTGGACGAGACCGTTCCATACCGGGGGCAGAGTCTGAAAAGGCGCACCGCTGGATGCTGATGGAAAGGCGTGGACAGATTTGGTGCGCAGATTCCCGTGGTGATGGAACGAGATCGCATTTGATTGCTGTCCATCACCCATCACCCTCGGCTCGTGGATGAATGTCCTGCCCGGGTTCGGGGCAAAGTCGTCGTGCATTTGCAAGGCGTGGAGCAGCGAACATGTTCACGGTAGTGACGCCAATCCTGCTGGACGTCATTTGGCGCATGCGTCGAACCACAGGCCGCTCGATAGGGCTGATTGGCGTTGGACACTGTCCTGCCTGTGAGTGTTGCAGCCTTGCGTGATGCCCTGTGATGTGCAGGACGACGGTGAAGACGATCGATTGCCTGACTGCAGGCTCTTCTTGGCCAGCCAGCTCCACCATCGATAGCGGGTTGGAGAGGCCCATGTCGCCAGGCTGCCATGCTGCCAAGTCGTTGGCCGCTCACTTTGGCTGTCAAGTGGGAAGGCCCTCCTGGCGCGCCTGCGGCGTCAGACGAGCGGGCCATCCCGTCCTTCCTTCCTCGTTTAGCCCGTGCGGACCGGGAGCTTCGTGGCCCCAGTCGGAGGCCGTTTGAATCCACGCCGGTTATTCCCTTTAGTCGACGATGCTGCATCGCGGCCGCTTTTCTCTTCTAAAAGAGTGTGTTGTTCCAAGAGCTATTGGGGAAAAAACATCAGCAAGTGCATACTCCCCTCACACGTTCCCAAGGCCACTTCATCCACCGCAGCACTCCACGTACGTACCTGCATACATCTCCGCAACCAGCCGAATCAATCAACGTCCAGCAATCACCATACTACAGCGACACTGTAGTATGAGTACATACGTGTACAGTACATTTCCTGCCACGCCAAAAGAAGCCCGACTCCATCCGTGGCGGACGCTCCAGGCGCTTCTTCTTCTTCTTCTTCGTCATTTACTTTTTTTCCCAACTCCCATCATCTGTAATCGTCACCAGCCGCGCGTCTGATGACCTCCCTGTGTGCGCCAAGGCTGTCGTTTCTCTTCCGGTCTGCCTGGGCGACATTTCTCTCCCCACCCACTTTTTGTCCAAAAATACTGGTGAATCAATCTTGACGCTGACGCAATATTACTTACTTTACCCAATAGGATAGGGGGTTTGTCATGTCTGATTTTGGCAGCTTGCTGACATTTGCCACTGCTCATGCAGGCCCCTGTGCTAAAGTGTCCACGAAAGGATCCTGCAGCAGAATCTTGGTGGTGGTCGCATTTACATGGTGGCCATTTTGGGATGTTGCGTAGGCTCCGCTCCCAAGGTGCAGGGTTTTAAGTTTTGACTGTCGTTTTAGGTCAGGCGCTGGAGTCTGTTGGTTTTTACACTTTGCAATGCTCTTTGTTCGTTTTTGTTTTATATGTAAACACCTCTTTTGGAAGTGGTGCAGACGACCCACATTCATTGATGCCTGGCAGAACCAAAAAAAGACACAATGGGCCGTTGGGGAACGTCACAAGACCACAGGGAGTGCGCAGCGACAGGTGACAGTTTACAAAGTGTATTTAGTAAATGGTTGGTCTAACTAAGAAAGAAAATCTAATGTTATCAAGAAGGAGTGCATGTGGGTCTTGAAGCCCAAAGTTGTACGAGCGTATCGCTCAAGGGTATTGGAGATTGAACTACTGTAAGTCAATGAAGACAAAAGAAAAGAGTCCATCCTTGCCGTGTATCCGTGGAAAGTTTATCAGAATTACAACTTAGGAGAATGTCAGCACAAAGCCAAATTGTCTCGGTTGAACAAATACCAACCCAAAGCCTCATTTGAGTTGTTGTGTGTCAAGTAGCAGCGTAACAAATCATTGAAAGAGTTTGAAACGCAGGAGACGGAGGGGAGAGAGAGATGGAAACATGGAATGTACAGCTGGATCAAATTATCCGCCTACGTTTCAAAATCTCTTCGTATGCCCTCATTTTCTCCGTTCTGATATCCAAAGTAATGCAGATGTCGTCATGGTTGCGTTTGGTATCCTCGTACATGTCTCTCCAGTATCGGCACTCCTTCCGCCAATATTCTACTTCCCGAATGAGGTCTGATACTCGTCGCCCGCAGCTGGACCCGACTTCGTCCTGCAAGTGCTTGACCTTGTCCTTGAGACGGTGGTTTTCGTCCTTGGCATCCCTCTTTTCCCTCTCCAGTTTATCAATAGTCTGTCTTAGACTCTCTGCGTCTCGACAGTGCTTTCCTTCGTTACGGCTTGCATTGTCTAGAGACTTTCGAAGGGCCGCGTTGTCTAAACCGAGAGTTTTGATCTGATTCTGCAGCTGTGGCACGACGACCTGGCGGAGGTGATGTGCATCCCCTTGCACGGCCGTTAGACTGGCTTTCAGAGAACTAACCTGTGCAGCCAGGCTCCTATTGGTGTCTTCGAGGCATCGCTCCCGCTCCTTTATACTGTCCCACTCCTCAACACTGACTTTGTAGTAGTCGTGCTCTACATGGTGGTGGTGGTGGTGGTGGTGGCCATGGGAACGGGAGCGTTTGATGGATACAAATTGCTGTTTGCCACTTGCCGTTGTTTCGAGGTAGATACGTCGAGACATTCGGGTGTCGGCTTCAACTTTGCGTTTCGGTTGACTTTGTTCGGCACCCACCTCGACGGCGGTTGCTTGTTTGAGTGTGCGATTTTGCTATCCCGTCTTTGACCAAGACAAGACGGGACGCTTCGGCGAGCTTCAAAACGATGCAATGTAAAACACAAGCTTGAATGACAATGATGGTTCTTGACAAGAAAGAATCTCAAAGGAAACTGAATGAAAGGCAGGATAATGCCGTCTTAATGTATGATGCGCGGACTGAAAGCTAAACTCTGGCAGGTTTCTCGATGTTGTCTTTGAAGCGAATGCTAAAGAGATTGAGCTGGAGTGCACAAGAGAGAGGCACTCGGCCACAACAGGTGATCAAAGGAATAAAGAATGATATATATCTAATGAGAGGCCAACGGTCACGACAAAGACCACGCTCAAGTGTATCAGGCATGGGTCATCCTTTTGTAAGAGATATTTTGGCCCCCTCGCCTATCCCTACCTACAACTTCTTTCATACGACGGCCACATGCAGAATTCAAAGAAGACAAAGTGTGCCACGCGATCGTAGCATATGGCCGCAAATATGGCCTGCGCGGAAAGTCCTAGTGGTGCTGCATCTGTGGCTGAGGCGTCGCGGCTGGACCTGAAGCTCAGGGTGAGCGAAGACGTTTGCACGGGAGTGACGGGATGTGGTAAAGTTGAGGCGTCCGGCCCGTCCACATGCAAGAGCAGCTCAAACCACCCCCCGGCAGGTTGCCATCCAAGTAGGCGTCTCGAGTGCTTACTATGGCTGTTATTATTATTATCTCTTGGAGCCTGCAAGATATAGGTAGACCGTGAAAGAATGTGTGCGCGGGGGGGACATAGTGAGCGAGAGCACGAGGATCTGGTACACGGGCACCCATGTCTCATCTCGATCATATGCCTTTGACCGGAGGCCGCCTTTGTGTGTTTGGGCGAACGAGCCCCCAAGTGTCTAACAAAGTGGTGGCTGAGAATTCAGGGTCTGCATTCGCCATAGGCCAGCAAAATAGGCCTCCTCATGCCAATGTGGAAAGGGTTCAAATGTTCGAAAGGCTCTGCCATATTTCATGGTGCCAGGTGAGCCATCCGACGGCTCTCAACTGTTCGCGCTGCAGCGGCTGCAACAATGTCGTCAGTAGAAGAATGCAAGGGCGATGCAGGGACAATGCACGATACCCGTCTGCACACTGGCTAGCAACGTCGTGGCCATCGCCGACTGGATGGCGTTGGGCGAGGTCAGGAAAGGTGAGGCATGCGGCCGAATGGCATCTGATTTTGGATTGAGCCTTGTGGCAGGGTCAGTTGACAGGAGGACACCGAACCGGTTCGCACAGTGTGACCCCAGGTGCCATGTGCTTTGCCCTACAACCACGTGCACACTCCATAACCCCCAGGCTCTAGGCTGCAGCCCTACAGTGTGAGGAAGATTGCCACCACTTGAGCCTCTGGCCAGGGAGTGATGAATACGGTTGTCTGGGGTTTGCCTCCGTTCAATATTCCGAAAAAAAATCCACTTCTGGCCTTTTTGCCTTGCGCCAAAGTCGAAAAAGGTTTCGCGTTTTTTTGCCTTTCAGTCCGTCCGACTCATGACATGGACGGAGCCCATCGCTTGCGCACCGTTCGCTTGGTGCGAACTTCGTTATGAGATAAGTCGCGTCAACGACGGGCCCTGAATGTGAAACGGCGAGAGCGTCCGATTGTCCCAAGACTTTTGTTTTACAACGGGGTTTCTATTTAAATGCAAAAAAAGAGATCAGGGCCATCGGTTGTCGCGCATTGTTCCAAGTGGCACGGCCTTAGCCTTTGTTATGTGGCGTTTGACGATGCGCTTTATGCTGCTCCTGCATCAAACACCAACAAAGGTCAACGGTACATATGTCTCAGGATTATTTCGTCAAAATAGGCGAGCAGCTGGACATAAATGGCCAGATTACCCCAGACGGGACGCGAAATTGAATCAGACACTGTTCAATGCTTTCTCTATAAATACTTCTTCACAAGTACTACCGTACCGTACCGTACCGTACCGTACCAACCAACACGCAACCAGCATATTATGTTTGCAATCTCATCACCAATCCTATCTCATGGTTTTGGGACTGGCCCCGCATCTCTGCTTCCACCCAGCCCACGATCCGGTGCAATTGAGAAGCCAGACCACAGGTAGATGAGGAGCGCGATGTATTCCATGACCAACGCCATCAAGGCAAACAAGACGGTCGAAGAAGCGGCGGGGTAGCCAAACACGGGATTCCAAAGAGTCTCCGTCTCTTGAGCGTGGGCAGACTCGATGAGACCATAGACGGTACGCACCATGATGAAGGGGCTGGCGAGAAGGGCACCGCGAAGAACCTGCGAAAAGGATTAGCCAAGGTGCGCGGTGTGGTCTCTGTGGCAGTACTTTCGTACCTGATGCCCGCTTGGTCGAAGGCTAGATTTACGAGCATGATAGTAGACCTGCATCAGGGTGAGGGCCACCAGCTCAGCGGCGAAAACGATGTAGCCGGCGAGTACGAGATTGTGCCCGGTGTGGACGAGATCTGGATCAGGTTGTGAACCGATGCCACCGCCCGCACCAAGGAGTGCGATGGCGGCGACAAAGGTGAGTCGAAGGCCGACCGTGATGCGGTGCGTAAACGGGCCATCTCCAAAGTTATCCATCAGGCTGTGCGAATGGGGACATTAGCCTGCTGACTTGCTTGGATCAAAGAGTCGAAGTGTTAAGCAGTAAGCATACATGATTCTTGTGAGACCTAGGTCTGCAACTATTAGAGGAATTACGCCAACATTGAGCAGAATGGTGGCTGCGACTGCAAGACCAATATCTGGTTCGCCGTTGTGTTGTTCCATGTTCGCCACCATGGCTATAATGACAGGACCGCCCGCGAGTCGCACTTTGAAGTGTCGTTAGTTCCAATTCTGGTTGTCAGCTCTTGGTGCATGGAGTTCGAGCCTACTGAGAGTAAAAGGAATAAGAGGCCACCAGGCCATTCGTGGTCGGATTTTGCCATTTCGGATCATCAACCAGATGGTCAAGGGGAGCATTGGCAAATAAAAGACTGCTTGAGCAATGCCCAGCGAAAGATGCGGATTGACCATTCTCGCGTTGCAAAGTTCGTTATAGCCAAACCAATGGTCGTTGGGGTTTGTATCTAGAAGGTTGGAAAGCTTCTTTTTTTTGGGTTCACTTCTCAAGATCTCATACAAAGTCCATCCAGGAGGGTTTGCTTTTATACCGAGATTCGAATTCTATTCTACAGGTCATAAATTCATAATCCGGAGAGAGTCACATTATAGATATATAAGTCGGGTCCGTCAGTCCGTCGTTAACAGCCACCACTTGCCACTTACTTCCATATCCCGGCCAAAACTCAGTCCCAATTCAGAAAGTTGTACCGAGCTGACACATTGTTAGTGTGTCAATCAATATGTCACCACGTGTCAGCTCGTTGCCGTGAGCCGAGTAGACGAATCACAGAGGCAGAATAGATCCAATCATTTCGTTGTATAATGCCCAGAATGTACAAGCGTCCTTTCTGCTCTTTCAGGTGGTTTTTAATTGCACACACTGACACAGACGCTGGGCCCGTCGACTAAACCCCTTCAGGATTTATACCGCGAGAGTTTCTGGTGCGATCTGAACTGCTGCGTTTCTTCACTCGCAAACTTGGGGCGGGCGACTGCATATGCACGTAGCAAGTCAAACTTACTCGTCGCCTCGACAAGCCACGGATTGATACGTGGCTCATCATGCAAGAGAAATACGTCAATATGCGCGAGGGGCACGCTATGCGCAGAGCCACGGACATGGAGGAATTGGGTGTGCCAAACGATTGGGTAAGTAAGACACTGCAGTAACAATTGGAGGCTATTGACTCTAAGAAACATCTCTTCCAGGCCCGTACATATGTGCAGATGAGCTGTTTCTGATCTGCTGCTAAGATTCCTCGGTCTCTCCTGCAATGGTGAAACGCCATCACGAACCGGCGTCCTTGGTGATAGGCTTCCTTTCATAGTCGGTTATATCTGCACCGGCGACATGCCAGAAGTCGACAATCGCGGCATTCATATATAAACTCCGGCATACAATCAAAACACTCCTCGCACTGAAAAAATCCCCTGCGAGACTTCCAGCGATGATTCCAGCAGTCATGGTTTACGACCAGATTATTCCGTTCTCGTTCCACAAGGGCAGCACGGTTAACCCCCTCGATATGAATCAGATCCGCATCACGGTCAACGATGGCATTGGCTCGATCGACCAATCTATTTTCATCCCACTGGTCACAGCTGCAGTTCTTCCACTTCACTCCGCAAACATAGCAAAATTGAGCACCACATCGACAAGCTGGAGTAGTGTTAGTCGGTCTTGACAAATGACGGATCTCGGCGAATAGGCTCACTTATATGGTTGCAGCCAACTTCCAGGTCGACCATTCTGCGGCATGAGTAACATCTCTGCCAGCCTTTCTGCGCCGCTACATTGAGCAGGTCCACCGTCGCCACGTCTTCGGGACAGTCCCCGTCATGAGATGAGCCCTTGCAGATAGTGCAAGTCTTACTTTGGCACTTGACGCAAGTTGCAATTTCTCCCCGGATAAATGGCGTCGGGATAAATGTAGAACAGGTAGCTCTGTGGCAATACGTTCTGTTCTTGGTGGAATACTCCAGCTCCTTGGCTCGATACTGTCCCGCTAATCTTGCTGGGATGAAAATCTGATTAAGGCCGAGAGGAATGGGCTGACTGCAACATCGGGGAGGGAATAGGGACTCGTCGTTCATTGCCGACTGGAACAAATCGGCTATGCACGCACGACAGTATTCATGTGTGCACGGGCATCGTACCGTCTCAAAGTATGGAACATCCGACATGCAAGCCACGCAACGTCGTTTCTCGATAGCCGCTGTCGAAGTGCTAGGCCGGGCTGCCTGTTTGGATGAGGATGCTGCAGCGGTTCCGGAATGGTCATCTTCGCCGACATACAAAGCCACAAGCTTCTTGACCATATCGTCCTCAATAGCTGTGTCAGGGTCTGCGGTTCCCGCCCCCTGCGTCGAAGCTTCGCCATTGATTGCAAGCTCGCGGTCGCGTACGGCCTGCTGCTCCTCCTCGATAAGGCTCTGGATGGCCTCTCCATCTGTCAGGACGGCATGAGCAAGACTGCGACTCATGGCTTGGTCTACATGGAACGAGGCGAGGGACTCGAGCTCGAGCTTGAACAGCTCAGCTGCCAGCTCTCCATCGGGCGTCTCTCCTACCCTATGCTTTCCCTTGATTAAGTTCTGGGCATCTTGTAGTTGAAGCTCAATTATTAAATCAAGGCTTGCTTGGTCAAAGGAGTCAACCATGGTGGTCAGTATCTGTGAGTCGGTCCGGATTCACCGTCTGTCGTTTGATACTTGCTTGCCCTTAGCATGAAATTGGAGGCGGGAAATGTTAAAACTTATAAGGCGTGGAGTCACGCGATCCAGCCTCACTCCTTCAACGCAGCCGAGATTGAGGCCCCTTTAAAGCGGGCTACGTAGATGGCTTCGTTAGTTAGAACTGAGCATCATCAATCCTCTCCCAACAGGAAACAAGATTCGGTGAGAAGAGGGGTTTGGGGGCGGGGGCTTGTTGATGGTAGGACAACATTGAAGCAAATTAAATACATGCCCCACCCCCAAATGTTCCAGACCGTGAAACAGAGGAATCACCAGACGCCAATTACAAGTCTTTGAAACGACTTTTGGATCGAGATTGTCACGTCTGCAACAGACCGTCCGATAATAAGAGGGGATAGACGACGCCAAATTTGATAGCATGGCTTGATTCGTCTGGCCAAGTTGCGGCACCAGCCACTTGGAACACATTGACGCGTGAACGGTTCATTTTCTTCAGCAACTTGAGTGTTTCAATGCTCTGTACATCTCACAGCAGATATCTGAGGTCGCGGCGACGGGCAAAATTTCAAACCAGTAGGTCAACCTGAAGATGAAGAGAGATCAGACGGCTTCGGTACAATTTCATGATGCCATTCTTGGAACAAGGCTACGAACTATGTCGCATGTTTGACACTGGCGCCACGACACGCGAGAACCACGGATATGGCCTGACAATCGAGGACAAACTGTGCCAGAGGATGAATCCTTCGCTCCGTCAACACAGCCTGATATAGGCGCGGTACGTCATATCCGAACGACAATGCCGAATTGTTAAGCTACATGCTCTTCCTGACGGGTTCACTGATATCCTTCCTCAACATGGCCTAAGTATGAATATTGTACTACTTTTCCAAGGGAGAGCTGGGCTGTTGCTGTGTGAGGTCACTGATCTGCTGTTCAAGTCTCTTGTCCTCGCACTCTATCTCATGTACTCGTTGCAGGTACCGCCGCTCCTCTGCCAATATTATACGCCTCTTCTGGAGCTCCCCAAGTACGGGAGTATCTTGATCTCCATTTTCTTGCGCTGCTGTCCGCATATCACTTAGAGTCCGACTCTTCATTCCGTCTGCTCGTGTGGGACCTCGAGGTGAGCCAGGAGGAGCTGCATTGGACACGATTTGGCCTGCCTCTAGTGCTGAGCTCCCCGGCACCATTCGGAGGGGAGTTGAATCTATTTCGTAAACTTGTTTACTCAACCCAGCAGGCGTGGGTTGCTGTGGCACGTATATATCCATCTCATGGGCCATCTCTGTCGAACCTAATCCAAACTATATTAGATGTTTCTCGTCCGGGCGGTGCACAAGAAATGCGTGAGAGAAGAGCATACCTAATAGCTCATTATGCCCAGACCGTGTAGGATGGCCATCTTTCTCTTCCTCCGACGGTCCATTACGGACTTGGCCTGAAGATGCGCGGCGTCGGTGGCGTCGACGATAGCACCAGAATGCTCCCGCGAGAGAGCCGAGGGCTGCTACAACGGCAGAAGTGATGGCTAACACGAGACCTGTGGAAAGCCCTGAGCTTCCAGAGGCTGTCGATATTGCAGTTGAACTCTCGCTTGGCGTGCTCGACGGAGTGCTTGTCGAACTGCTGGATGGGACCGGCTGTGGTGTCTGTGTTGCTTGCCGCCAGCTTGCAGATTCTGGCTCGTCAAAGGTGGCCTCGGAAAACGATGCGGGATGTACATTCTGGCAGCGCCAGTCAATAATAGACTGGGCCCTGAGGAGGTCGGCGGCAGAGCATGCGCTTTGGTTAGCACACTGAGCAACGGGGTCGACGAGTTTGGACTTGGTGCGAGGCCGGCAGAGACAAAAGGCAATATCCTTATCATTCCCCGTGCACCCAACGTTTGGCAGTGCCTTTTGGATACAAGACCGGGCACAGGGAGCCATCTGGAAGTGGCTTTGCACCAAGGCGATGCCAGCCGCCACCGCGGCCACGACCACGGATACGGCTTTCATGCTGAAACTAGTGGGAAGATGGGAAGTTGCCAAAACTCGTGAAAATGAGGGATAGGGGGATTTGGGTAGACATAACGCTTTGCGGGTTTGTGGGTGGCACTTGGAGGATAGGAGTGAAACAAAGGCTGATGGTGACTTGGACGAAATGACTGGTCAAGGGAAAACAACAGTCGTATCGCAATGTAGAGCGCCGCAATGTTGTAGGCTACAGAACATACAAGACCTACAGGACCTGCCTGACCTGTGCGCATCTTCGGCCTTGTCACAAGAGCCTAATTGGACAACTCCCGAGCGATTGGCTTCGGTTGACGCCTCGTGTAAGCAAAATGTTCCAGAAGTAAGCGGGTGTTGGTATTGCTGTCTTCAGCCGACAGGAACCAATCTTAATTCCCGATACTACTATCTGCGGGACGTGGAAAGGGCCGTATGTTGGGGTCTTGGTGCCCTGTGCTGCACTCTCCCCGTCCTTGTGCCTATCTTTAATTGCGTTGGCTGTGCCTTGACGTTGGGTTGTGAGACCGGGCCATACGGATAAACGACAAGCTCGGAAACTGAGACACGTTATTATTATTTTTTATACAACGCTGCACAATACTACTAAGTACTCCGTACCTTGCTCTATGAATCTGCCGCAAAAGTAATCAAGGAAAAAGAGCCTAGAGAAAATTAGGGGTCAAGCCCCTGCTGGACAGGCTTATTTGATATTGTTGATGAGAAGATATAGGAAGCTCACGGTATAGAAGATTGATTGTCCAACCTGAAGCAACCAGCAAACAATGCATTTACCAGGCAACATCGCAAAGGCATGTCGTCAAGTGTGATGGGAATACTCTTGAAGAAATTAGCCCTGAATCATACATCCGGAGTATGGGGTGTTTTGACGCCTGAATGGAATCCCGAGATCAAGTCCAGATAATGTTGATAAGGTACAGTGGTGTACGGAGTACGTAGTACTGTAGGGCTGGGGTACGGATGACAGGGGGCAAATTGACGTTTTGGTGGGAGATGGTCAAGCCGTACCTTCCAAAAAGGGAGAGACCCCTGCGGAGTACAATTCGCTTCACGCCACCCAGGCTGCAGAAAACCAGAACCTCTCTTGCAATAAAATTCTGTTCTACGAATCCTTACTTTTGCGGCGGAGGGCTGCAGCTGTTGAGTATTCTGAAATTGACCAAGTCATTGCGCAGGAGAAACATGCCAAGGATCCCACAGTGCAACGTTTGGTTCTCTTGAGCTTTGCAAGTCTGGAGTTTTCGCTCCGAAGTTGTCAATGTGTCACTATAAGGAGGCCAAGATCTTGAGCATCCTGATGGCACCACAGTCAATCGCGGCCTTTCTGTCATGGCTAAATAGAAGAAGTCGAGAATAAGAGCTGGAGTATGTCATCGTATACCCAAGTACTCGGTGACAGGCTGGCGCACGGTTGACTCAATGCTGAACGATGAGGTCTCCCATCTGATGATGAAACCTCGTACCACATCGGCGGGCTCATCACTGTCCTGACCAACCGTACGTACAAGCCTCGCCTGTTGTTCTCAACACATCAATGCGTGCAGCTGTGCTGCTTGTTATCTGATCATGTGGCTAATCAGCTGGCCCAGTAGCCTTAGGTGGCGGCTCCAGATACAGCTCAGCTCAGCTCAGCCCAATAATTTTACTGCATGCTCGAAACCGTCATATAAGAATACACCGTGGGAGACAGGAGGTCCCCGAAATATTATCTCACCAAGCTGCAAATCAAGGTCAAAGTGCAATCGCGAGATATGCGTCTCCTAAATGTTGACAGCCTCCAGCTCAAATATTTCGTCGGCGAGCCTGGTCATGGCGTGCCCGGTTATGCTATTCTTTCCCACGTCTGGGGCGACGACGAGATTTCCTTCCAAGAAATGACCGAAAACGTATACCCCTCGACGCCAGCTTCGCGGAAAGGGCTTCAGAAAATCCTTGGCTTTTGCGACAAGGCGAAATCTGACGGCCACAGTTGGGTATGGATCGATACCTGTTGCATCGACAAGTCTTCCAGCGCAGAGCTTTCCGAGGCCATCAACTCCATGTTCAACTGGTACAGAAACGCTGCGGCTTGCTACGCTTACTTGTTCGATGTCACAAGCGACGAGGACCCGGCAGGACCACAGTCTGCGTTCCGGTCGAGCAAGTGGTTTACGCGCGGTTGGACACTCCAGGAGTTGCTCGCACCTTTCGAGGTAGCATTTCTCGCGATGGACTGGCGTGAACTTGGTGCAAAGTCTGATTTGGCCCGCATCATTGCAGAAATTACTCGAATTGATCAACAGGTACTGTCGACCTGTGTTTGGGATGACGTTAGTATAGCAGCCATCATGTCTTGGGCTGCAAACAGACGTACAACAAGGGTGGAGGATGAGGCATACTGTCTGACGGGGTTATTCAACGTGAATATGCCTCTCATTTACGGCGAGGGACGAAACGCCTTTTATAATCTGCAATTGGAAATTATCAAGTCTTCGGATGATCAGTCAATTTTTGCCTGGACGTGTGAGCCTGAGGGGCCATCTACATTGTCTCTTTACGAACAAGACGCGAGGCCACTCGGAATGTTGGCAACGTCTCCCCGAGCTTTTGCCAAGTGTTCCGCCATTGTAGACACGTACCTTCATACGGATCACGATATATCGTTCGATATCGAAAAACAGTTCGTTCGATTGGTTGCGGCAACCATGCAATTGTGTCGGGAGGTGAAAGTGGAAAGCGAAAAGCAACTTATACCCGTCTCTTTCGTTGTTCCTACAGCAGCCCATTCAGACCCAGATGGCGCGGTGATTTCCATGGCAGACGTTATCAAGTCCTGGCCACGGCAGATTCCTTGGGGCCATGTCCACATAGCTGTTCTCCGATGCACAGATGACGAAGGTCACATTGTCATTTTGATGGAGAAGAAATCTGACGGCAAATACGAGAGGATTGGCAGCCACCATTTCCCATGGCTCAGAGCTCTTGTCACTGAGAATAAAAAGTCGAATCAGACCATGCATATCCGTGCTCGAGCAAAACAACATGTATCAAAGGGTAACAGAGACAGCCTCCGGGGTTCTCACTATGGCGGCAATGGAGCAGTTGTCAAAACCATCCCCGGCTCGGGGTATATGATTTCACATAGCCGACCTGCCAATTTTACGCCTGTCCAAGGAAAGATAATGTCATATGTGGATATGAACCTTGTTGGTTCTAGTATAAAGAAGGCGATTGGGGTGGTCACTCCACTTGTGCTCTTCTTTCGACATGCCCGATCGGCCGAGCATTCTTCTTTTGCAATTCGTTTTGACCGTGTAGGGCCATATGGAAGCTACCTTTATAAGATCAGCTTTCGCGTTGGAGTGACTGTGTGGGAAGATGACGGCAGTGACAAGCAAAACCCCCAGAATGACAAGAACGGAGAGACCGCCCAGTCACCTATGTTCCCACCAGACTCTCCGCAAGTCAGCTTCCCGATATCGAGTGACTGTGTCCTTAGGCTTCGTTATCGAAGGACAGCTCCCATGTTTGAGGACTTTGTCAATGTGTCCATCGAAACTCCACTCCCCTGGCAGCCCGTTCTGGAAGATCCCCTGGCAGCCTGGGCTGTTTTCTTTGCTCATAATTTCGGGAGAAACGCCGAGAACTTGGCGCAGTTTGCTCCGCAGGACAGGGTGACCCGGACCAAAACGTTGTGCCACCTGGAAGATCAACAAGATCAGATACATACTAGTACTACCAGAGCAGGCTTGTCGGAGCCAAAGAGATCAATGAGCAAGTCGCCGCCACTAGCGGCATCGTTACCGGGCTCAGCAGATGTCAAATCGGACTTGAGGGGGGCCACGCTGTCTGCAGACTGTGCGGTTTCGGATACATTGCCTGCATAGCCAATACAGCTCGAGTACTAGTTATTCTGATGACAAATCGTCGGGATGCGGTGTATCATTTCCGAGCAACATACTACTACTTTGCATTCCCTGCGGTTGCGGCGATATGGAGGACTTGCAAAGACGGCCTGTCACGGAAGGGCGCGAGAGAGCTTAAAGCTGAAATCCTTGTGTTGCACCAAGCCAGAGCAAAATGCCACGGGTTATTGTTCAGCACCGTTCTGGAACAGGATGCCCGATGCATACGAGATAACAACAACGCCCAAATACTACTTTGAGTGTCGAACAAAGAATCCGTGACCGCTACTACTACCGAAGCAAACTCGGTACAATCTGAGCCGAGATTAACCGCGGTTACTGGGCATCCAATGGGCATCATCAACCCCAGAGGGGGGCCCAAGGAGGTTGTCAAGAGACGACAGGAAACGTACCGGCCACGGCCAATTGGTGTGTAGGTTTCGTTATCCCGCCCGCCGAAACAAGGGCGTCTTTACCAAGGGCGCAAGTGGCGCAAGCATATTGTATTTTCGGTGAAAGCGGGACGGGCTAGGACCGGGCATGACCACTTATTCCCACCAATACTCCGGCTTCGGGGGGTTTAGACGGCGCCAAAGCAAGGGTTGACGGCCGCGGACAAGAACTCGATTGCAAGTGGAAGTGCAGCCCGAACAGGCTGGCCCCTTTAAGGTTGTATTTAATCATGCCTCGAGTTTGGCGATTCAGCTTCGGCCCCACGCGTCGCCGTTTGGCAGTGGAAACGGCACCCATGCCTCACACAGTTGCCGAGCTTTTTCTCCATGCCTGTGCGATTAGTACTTAAATTCCTCCTCGTTTCCCGAAGCAGGCTTTGTTTAAAAGGGTCTGCTAGATTCGCTTCTCCTTCACTGCTCTCTGCCAACGTTGCTCGGCCCGGCTTGTCATGTTCCCCTGTCCACGTTGCTAGCCAACTTGAACACAAAGCGACTTGAGTCTTGACTTTGACTTAATATAATCTGTTTTCATTAACGTTTCAATTGTCGTGGTGAACTGTTGTATTAGATGACCCTTTCACCAGTCCATCATGGTGCTCACAGGCCCTACAGAGACAAACACCATAGATGTTGGACAAGATGAGCGTAAGTCGAGTCCTCTTTAGCTCCTCTAAACCCGTGAGGATTAACCTTTTCTTAGATGGAAGAGAAATAGAAGGGCACCCGCTTGGCCAAATACAGAGTCTAAACGAACAAGATGCCCAAGACCAGTATGCCATTGAGGCAATGGATTACGGCGACGGCATCCTCTCTGGCATCCGCTCCAGGACACGCAGTCACACCGACCACATCATCATCAGCTGGGAAGTCGATGATCCGGATAATCCTCACAACTGGTCAACGGTACAGTTTTTCTCGTCTCACCAACCCACAACCCCTCCAGGATCCTCAAGATCAATCTGACCTCTACGCCAGTCCCGTAAAACCTTTGTCGTCCTGGTATGTGTGATGCTCGTCCTCAACTCCACCCTGTCCTCTGCCCTCCCCAGCATGGCCATCCCCAACATCACGGCAGACTACGGCATAAGCGATGCCACGGAAAATGTCCTACCAATTAGTGTTTTCCTTATTGGGTACATATTTGGCCCACTCATCTGGGGGCCCCTGACGGAACATTACGGACGAAGAAACCTCACCGTCGTGACGTTTGTAGTCTTTACACTATTCACGATGGCCTGTGGCCTGGCACCGAGTTGGGGGAGCTTTCTCGTGTTTAGAATGATCTGTGGTGCGTGTGCGGGAGCACCAATTGCCATTGTGGCCGGCATATTGGCCGATGTTTTTGCCGATCACAGGACTAGGGGGAGGGCGTATGCTGTCTTCATGGTGGTGAGTATTCCTCGGAGATTGCGCTTCCATTTTTCCTCTGCTGCTCTACTTTGTTTGAGTAGTTACCCAAGGAAAACAATGTACTCATTATGACGGCTTAGGCTACCCTCTGGGGACCCTTGTTCTCTCCCATCATTTCAGGCTACACGTCCATGACCATCGGATGGCGGTGGGCGTTCTGGATTGATCTCATGTTCGCCGGCTTCACGCTCCTCATCATAGCTTGGCTCCCAGAGACGTTTGGTCCTATCCTCCTGGCACGGCGGGCCCAAAGGATGCGCAAACAGGATCCCGCCCAGCGCGTCATCGCACCCCGAGAGCTCGAGGAAACGAGCCTCAGTCAGCTCCTAACCGTGGTCATTACCCGACCGATTCGCATGCTGGCCTCTGAGCTCATTGTTACAGCCACATGCGCATACCTGGCTCTCGTCTACGCCATCTTCTACATGTCCTTCCAGGCTTTCCCCATCATCTTCCACGACTTGTATGGCCTCAATCCGGGAGAGACTGGCCTGACGTATCTCCTAATCGGAGCAGGTGGCATGGTCTCCCTCCCCGTCTTCTGGTACTGGGACGTTGCTCTTGTCAAGGCCCAAGTTCGTGGCTCGTGGTGGTCGAAACGCGAAGAGTCACGGCGCCTGCCGCTTGCGTGTATGGGCGGCCCTCTCTTCGTCATATCTCTCTTCTGGCTAGGCTTCAGTGCAAAGATATCAATCCCCTTTGTGGCGCCTATGCTTGCGGGCATCCCGTTCGGAATGGGATACATGCTCATCTTCATGGCGCTGCTAAACTACTTGACGGATTCGTATGAGATTTTCGCCGCGTCCGCCAACGCAGCTGCTTCGTGCTGCCGGTCCATCCTCGCTGTCGTTCTGCCGCTCGCAACGACACACATGTTCCGAGAGCTGGGGATCGCGGGGGCGTGCTCCCTGATTGGGGGGTTAAGCGCCGTGATGTGTGTGATTCCGTTTATTTTCATCTGGAAAGGACCAAGTATTCGGGCCAGGTCAAAGTTTTGCATTGCGTTGCGGGAGCAGAAGGAGGAGATGCAGAGGAGAGCGGATGCGCAGAGGGCGAGGTTGGAGAGGATGAGGGCAGGCAAGGAGAGAAGGCAGAGTGTGAAGGAGGGGAACAAGACAGAGGAGGTCTGATGATATGGGGATTTGGCTAAAAGTATGGTCGCATTTGGCAGCGAGGTTCTTTCTTCTTGTTGCAGTTGGCGTTTGATTTGGGCGGAAATGACACCATATTGATGGTGCAATGCATACGGTTTCATACTTGTCATTTCATCAATACACACTCGAATTCCTAACGATATACGTTACCTTGTTGCCGTCATCACCCATTCCATCTCAGTTCCGGCTGCAACATCCAACATCTCAACCTTGTCCGTTCGAAGCACCAAGTCTCCCAACATTTAGCTGATACCGCCAACACATGACCTCCCCTCAGAATACAGACTTCAGACGCGCCCTCTAATACTCACTGTCGATATAAATCACAAACAAATCACACGGTCCCCTCCCCTGCATCCCGCCCACATCAGACCACATCTTCCTCGGTGACCTACAACAATCGGCCCTGCAGCACCTATCCTACGCACAATAATCATACAGTCTCTCACGAGAGTCGGCACAGGACCGACTGTGACAGAGATGGCTGGCGCAGCAACGCGTCCCCGGCCCAGCAGTAGCACCAGGCTCTTGTACGCCTGCCGTACCCCGGCCCAATCCTACCGAAATCAAGCTCGTCAGCGCCGTCCTCACATATAAAGAAACAGACAGAAGGGGGGGGGGGGTCTTACGCTCTCCGCAATTCTGCCCACAAACACCATTCCGCGCGTCTCGCCCCCTCAAGCACCCAGGATCATCAGGACCCCCGCCGCGCGAGTCGCAGCACCGACTTGGCAAAACATCCTCCCTACACGTATGTTTCCCATGACGGCCGTCACAAGCCCCCGGGCGCCAGGCGTGCCGCTCGCAAAAGACGCCCTCCCCGCGACGGCCCCCATCACAGCCCGGCTCGCCGCAGACGTGGACGGCGCAGAAGCCTCCCGCGGCGGTCCTCTCGTCGCAGCAGCCGACTTGGCAGCAGTGCATGGCGCAGTATTCCGCCAAGCCGCCGTCTTGCAGAGGGCGCCGCGGGCGCGCGCACTCGTCTACCGAGCACCGCCTCTTACCAGGGCACTGGATGTGGTGGCAGGCGGCGTCTCGGGGGTGATCCTGCGCCGCCTCGGGGACGACGACACACGTGTGAGCGGTGCCGTGGCGGTTTGCGCACCCCTCGGTCTGGCAGCGATGCGCGTGGCAGTACCGCAGGTCTTGCTCGGCCTGGCAGACCCGTGCGTTCTGACATCTCGGCTCTACGCAGGCGTCTATGATGCGGGACGTCAGTGTGTCTCTGGGCTAGGGGGCGGTATATATATATGTGTGTGTTTGTGTGTGCGTTTTGTCTTACGGTACTCTTTGCAGTATTTGTATCTGCTGGCGTTGTAGTCCTGCACGTGGTTTGGGCAGCGCTCTTGGCCGACGGATCCTGCGCATTGGATATCTGCACGCCCGTCAGCACTTTGAGCACAAGCATGTCTTGAAGATCAAGACGAAGGGCGAGATGGGTAGTGGGAAGTGGAAAGTGGGAATTTTGGATACAGTTCAACATACGGTGCAGGCAGTATTTGCCCTCGCGTCCCTTGGGCTTCCCGCATAGGGAACCATCGTCCACGCGCCTACATGAGTGCTGCTTGCAGTACAGACTCTCGACGACGCCGGAGTCCTTGATCTCGAGAATCCACAAGTCTTGGCCGCAGGTGCCGTTGTTCGCGGGACACCGGGACCTGCTGGCTGCGCAGCCGCCATTGTTCCGAAGGTACATGTACTGCATATTGCGGCCGGTTAGCACATCACGGGTTTCGTGGTCTAGTTGGTCATGATTTCTCGCTAACACCGAGAAGGTCCCCGGTTCGAGCCCGGGCGAAACCACGCGGTTCTCTTTTTGATGGGTCCTCAGAGTGTGTTAGAAGCACTTTTCGGACGCCTGTTCTCTTTTTTGTAAATTCGAGTTTTAGGCTGTAGAATGCGTTGTCGTTGTCAAGCACAGCAATGTATTTTTGGGCAATGAGCTTGATGAGCTCTCCACGAAGCAGTAAAGGGTCAACTGGTATTTAAAGACGGTCAAAGCATTTGGAGAGCAGTTGCATAGGGTCGTCGAGATGAGATGGGGAATGGCATCAGTAGCGGCCGTGTTTTTGCGACGAGGCTAGATACATGAGTCCTCAACTGACAACCGCACGCGCCTACCCGTCCAACACATCACGGGCCAAAGTCCCGGGAGGATACATGAATCAACGCCGTGAGAAGTTGCCCTGCCCATCACCATCCTCGACTAAAGCTCGCACCGGTGCGAACCGTTCGTAAACAGAGTCGATGCCCTCGTACAAAGCACATACTCGCCACGTGTTTTCCCCCTTTCCTGACAAAACCCCGTGGCCCTGAATTTTCAGAGCCCACGATTTTTATTTTGTTCAGGCTCATATTGTGAATCTGGCAGCCATATGACCCTTGACGCCTAGTAACTATCCTGTTCCTACTCCTTCTCCTCTTCCCGTACCTTGGTATCATTGAAACAGTGAGAAACATGACACACGCCTCCGATTCTATAAACATGCAAAAAAAATTAAAAAAATCGAGAAAAAGGTGTACCATCACGAAATGTCGTGTACCCTTTGAGTGATCCCCCCCTTTGCGCCGAGTGCCTAAAAAAGCTACATGTGATCTACATGTGATCAGCTCGCGTAGCTGGTTTATCATAAGTCGTCCCAATAAAAAGATTCTTCATTCATACACGAAAGCCGTCCCAACCAGGGCATCATGGCCGCGGCCTTTGTCACACGTCGGGTGTGACTCCCCCTCCTTCGTATGGGTCTCATGATGTTAGGCTTTGTGCCACAACAGCTTGCAGACCTTCAAGGAGAGCTGCTTCCGCTGCGTTGTCGTCTTGTTCTTGTTGTGTTGGGGAGTCGGGTTTTGGGGCTTCCGGGGGCGGGCCCGGGTGTTGTTGAGGTGCTGGTGAGGGAGTCGGGGCAGGCTGGGTTTGCGGTACAGGTTGAGCAGCTGGTGGAGATACTTGCGGTGAATGGGCACGTGCAGGCGAGGTTATGGGTTGAGGAGGAGCGGCAGCCAGAGGCGTACTTGTCGGGATAGAGGTTGTCGCGGGCTGTGTTGTGGCAGCATGATGCTGCTGGGCGGCAGCCGGCTGCGGTTGTGCTTGTGCTTGTGTGTTTGGTGTTGGCTGCGGCATGGCGGGTGTTCGTGTCGGTTGCTGTGCTTGCTGTGCTTGCTCTGCTTGTTCTGCTGGCTGTGTCTGCTGAGGCTGAGGTTGATGCCCCTGCTGATGGTGTTGTGGTTGCCCCTGTGGTCTGGGAACTTGAGGCGGCAGTTGTGCCTGGGATCGGCCGTTGGCTTGAGCAACAGAGTGTGACGATGGCTGCGTGTTCGCCTGGCCACCTGGACGAGTTTGAGAAGCCGGCGTCGCCGTCGGCCTTGGCACTGACGTCGCTTGGGCCCCTTGGCCAGCCGCATTGGCTTGATGCCCGGCATGATGTTGTGCGGACGAAGCTGCTTGAGCTGCCTGTGCCGGTGTCACAACTCCAGATCCAACAGCATTGACAGGGCTGGCCGGTGTTCGACCTTGCGGCGGGTGTTGTAGACCGCCTGCCAGAGCCATGATCCCCTGAAGCTTTGCTTGGTCTTCTTCAGAGTTGAGCCTGGCCCTCTCCTCGGCTTCCTTTCTCGCAGCTTGGGTTGGCGCCCGCGTCTTGAGTTCACCCGTAACGGCTTGTAGATAGTAGGGCATTTCAGAATTAGTTTTCAGGAAGAAGAGCTTGAGATTTCTTGCCTTATCCTTCAGCTGCACCTGCGTTCTATCTTTGAGTATATCTGATATGGTGCCGTTTTGGCCAAACAGCGTCAGGATCTGGCTCCAATGGGGTCCCTTAACCATGTCCAAGCCAGCCATGAGTGCCTTTTCTTCTTCTTGGGTCCAAGGCCGACGCGTTGAATGGAGTCCTTCTCTTCGAGTGTGCGCAGACGACTTTGAGAGAGCCGCCTGGCGAGCCTTGTCATATAGTATGGAACTAGGGAACGTCTGGTTCGGCGGCAGGTTCTCACCAGGCAATGGAGGCAGCTGCGGCTCGGGGGGTGGCTGAGTGTAGGTGTAATATGGAGGTTGTACTTGATGATGTTGTACTTGTGCCTGATAAGGTGGTTGAGCAGCCATGCTGTCAGCTATTTAACCTGTTAGCAAGATCAGAGGGCGCGACGTAAAGAAGAAGAACTGACTGGTACTAGTGGGAACGGTAGGTTGGTAGGGAATTGGTGAGAGTCCGTGAAGCGTAGTCTTGACGTAGTTGGAAGTGCTTTCTGCAACGAGAGCCTCGAGTTCTTTGTAGTCCGTCATGAGATCAATCTTGCCGTTGGTCTGTGCCGAGGCGGCTTCTGACTTGTTCTCCGTGCTTGCAGTCTGGGCTGCAGCTTCTTCTCCTCCCTCTGCCGGATCTGTTGTAGTTGGCTCGTCTTTCAATCCCGCCAGGGCATTCTGGACAAGGCCAGAAGCCGTCTTTTCAAAGAACGATGACAAGTCGTCCAAGTCCATATCAGCATCTCCTGTGGCGTCCGGAATCGGTTCCGGTGGCGGCTCGCTGTCGCTGATCTCTATCGTGATTCCCAACTTATTGCCTATGTCTGTGAGCGACTTGAGGCGGCCGGCGGTGTATTCCAAAAAGCTCCGTAACAGGTCCTCGGCAGGGTGTTTCTCTCTCAACGCCGCTGCAAACAACCAATTAGCCCAATCAGGTCAACTTGTAAACGGCCATATACAGGTTTATGCATACCTGGCTCCGACTCTTCCTTTACCTCCCCTTGAAGCGTTTCTTTCCTTGTTTGTACTGAAGACACAAAGTTCTGATCAGCAGAGGTCAACTCTCCTCCGCCATGCTGCTCCTTCAGGGTATGCTCAAGTCCGTGGGTCAAAACCTCTCCAATAACTTCCTCCGACGGCTTTTCTGGCTCCTTCTCAACGAGGAACTCTATTGCTCTTTGCGTTTTGATACCCAAATACAGTTCCGTCATTCCAGGTGGCAGTTCGGACAGCTGGCACTGGAACATGGCGAGAAAGTTTTCGTCAGCTTCAGAGAGAGCTTTGGGAGTTCCATCAACTAGCCGCAATCCCAGTTGCGCAAGGTTCGCCAGTTCGATAAAATGTTGGGAGTCGGGGTCTCGAAATTCGAGTTCGTTGGCTGATAACACTGGTCCAGGCGAATACATTTCGTGAACATGCTCAAAAGAACACTTGAGCCCGCGAAATGTCTTCTCATGCTGTGAATCGGATCCCCGAACCAGTTTGATTGTATCCTCAAAGGGTGATTGTACGAGAACAAGTAGGAGCGACAAGGCCTGGCGACGCGCCGGTCAGTCGAGATGTTGGTCCGAGGGCAGTGCATTGACTTACAAGGTTCCCTAGCGCATGGACATTGGTGTCGCGAATGAACTTTCGGGGGTCCGATACAAACGTCGCCCGGACAGCAGGAGGTTCAGGCAGCGGTATTGTCGTGTCAACCTCCATGGGATCTGATGCGGGCTGTTCTGGGGCTGTCTCATGTCCGCTCGTGAATTGGTCAACCAGGTCGCCAACATTTGACAGCGCATTTTGTACTAATAGTGCGAGTCCATCTTCGAGTGAAGCTTCTTCGGTTTCGGTCTCCGTCTTTGCTCGTTTGGCCTCTGGTGTTTCGGTAGTGGCGCCGATGTCCTCCTCGAAGGGTCGTTTTGAGGAGAGTTCTGGCGGCAAGGCGAAGTCAAGGCCCTCTAGACCAGTCGGTTCGTGTTCTTGCTTGATACCTGAAGAACAGCATGGTTAGCATACTTGTGCTCTCTCTCTGGCCGTCGTTCCTCTGCAAGACGCTCATCGCATTGGCATCATGCGCGCGTCATTTCGGCCGGACTGGAGATAGATAGACAGATAGATAGATACCTGTCGCCATGGAGAAAGCGCTGGCCTCGGCTAACGCTGACTCGGCCATGATGCCAGTGGTGTTGATTGAAACAGCAAGGAATGCATGCGACAGCGTATCAGGGTGTGAGCGGGAGCAAGATTGGCGGGATCGTTGATCGTTTTGCAACTCGTCTTGGATCGCGGCTGCAAATGCGGGCGACCAACAATGAACCTGGCGCTTGCAGCCTTTCGCCTTTCGAATGGCGGGCCGTCCGAGAAAATTTGCTGAGTCAGTCACCCGATTGCCCTTATATCGTGCCCCAAGTTTCTGCCGGCTCAGATACACAACCAACACAGGATTGGACAAAAAATTTATTCGTTGCAACCAAATTTCAAAATTGGCTGCTCGCTGCGCAACGGGTGATACTAGACATGTCAATGTATTCCGTTGCAGTGGCTAATTACGTGGTGAATTGACCATTGCCAGAATCGGTTTTGTTTTCTTATCGTGCCATGTCTGTCCAGCTCGGCGTTTGTTTTGTTTCTTCCCATTACTCTACTCCGTACGTATAGCCATCATGGTACGGCTAGTTAGTTAGTTGCCTTTATTAGTCAGCATCTCGGCCTCTACCGCCAACCAGACATTATTAGTCCATGCATGCAACCTATGATCTCTCCGAGCCGAGTCAAATGTCTCATACATGCAACTGTTGAACATTCATCAAGTACGTTCATGCCACCCAACAAATTTTATATATGGACACAAACATAATCTGTATGTACCAAGAAATTTCGCGGCCACGGCGCTTGCCAACAACAGTGCAACTCTAAGGGCAACAAAACCTTTGCAACATAAACTAAGTATCAGAGCAAGATTCACCGAAGAATACAAGCTTTCCGCAAAGTAACTTTGTTTTACAATGCGAGCGCGAGGACCAGCACGGCGGCCGCAATGCTAGCTCCAGCGGCAGCGAGGTGTCTGTCAGGAGAAGCAGCATTGTCCTCGTCCTTCTTGCCACCACCACTACCATTTCTGTCACCATCACCGTCATTATCACTGCCACTCCCACTGCCACTCCCACTGCCACCGCTATTGCCACCACCCTGGCCACGGTTGCCACTGTTGCTGGGTTTCGGCTTCTCTGATGGGCTTGCGGTGGTACTGGCTTGGCTTGTAAACGTGCCAGTCAAGGTCTCGCCGAGCGTTGGCAGCTCTACGTTTCCATTCACCTGCCACCATCCGTCTGCGGTTGAAGTTGGGCAAGGTCGAGTCGACACTTGTTTGGGATCGTAGTCATTTTTCACCACACCAGTAGGCTGCATACTCGCCCATTTAGTCTTGAGATTGTCAAAATCAGGACTGATTGGGGTCGGAGTGCCTTTGCGAGTGAAGCCGTCAAAAACGTTCTCGCCTGGCTGGGAAGCATCGCCCTTGGGTCCGTATGAAATGAGGCCGTAGTGGTTTTGTTCCTCAATCCACTCGTAAATGATGGCACCGCTCCAGTCATCAACCATGGGCTTGGCAAAGATGGCATCCTGATCATCCCACTTTCGGGGGCCGGGAACATTGCAACCTGTTTCACTAAAAAAGATTGGAACGGGGAAATTCTTGGCGTATTCTTGTAGCTTGTCGTAGCTAGACGCTTCGAATGTGCTGGGGTCGCACCAAGAATAGGAGTTGAGAGCGAAGAAATCGACAATCTCAGATGAATTTCCTCCGCAGGTGAGATAGTCTTGCAGCATTGGACGAAGTTGCACAATATCCGCGGCTGAGTAGCCGATAGGGATATTGCGATAGCCCTTGTTGTCTCGATAGACCTTCATATCACGAGCAGCGGCCTTGAGGAATGGAGCTGCTGGAGAATCGTCCTTCGTCGCAATATTTTCGTTGCCAACAAAGAAGCCTAGAACATTGTCGTAGCTATGGAAGGCGTCCATCACTTGTGAATACCTTTCATACTGAGTGGAGTTCCAGTAAAGATCCTTCTACAAGACTGTCAGACATGAACATGCAAACGCCGTCATTACCGCTAACGTTGTGGGAGTAACTTACGGACTCAATGTATGTGCCAAATGTATCCATATCAACCAAGAGATAGATTCCAGCGTCATCCAATGCCCTCATGCAGCCATCATGCTTAGCCTTGGCATCTACATGGTAAACTCGGATCGTGTTGACACCCAGTTCTTTCATGAGAGAAAAGTCCCGTTTGCATTGTTCCGTGTCTATGAGCGGATCATCAGGCACAAGTTGGTAAGCAACACCTGGTCAACAACATTAGTACAACAGAAAGTATCTATAGCTCTCCTGTCACATAACTCGCCTTTGACAAAGAATTGTGTTCCATTTCTGGTGAAAAACTTGTTTCCGTAAGCCTCAACAGGATCGAGAGCAGCAACAAACGCACCCAGGCCGAACATGGCCGTCCAGAGTGCTGCAGGATGCATTGTATATCTGTTTGTGCCGTAAAGCTCGCGCTGATTCGAATGGAGGCGTTACAGAGGCCAAGGCTCTTCTGAAGGTAAGGTAAAGCAAAGCGAGTTGGGTCCAAGTCGCTTTTTGATTATGATCAGAGAAGCAGAAGCCCAAAAAAGGTTTCGACAGCCAGGTCTCACGGGTTAGCAGCTATAAGCGAAATCTAACACGAACGAGCGAACGTCGTGCAATGCGTCCTTGACCCCAAAAAGCACACAGGGCAATCTCAGGTGAGACAAGCACTCGGAATCGTTGTGCGAGGTTCGAAAGAGACAGAGAGATGGAGAGAGAGAGAGAGAGAGAGAGAGAGGGACGGTCAGTGGCAACAGACAAGTCGAACCAACGAGGCGACGCAGACAACCAAGGCTGGCAAGACGGGTAGTCGCGATCACGGGGATCAGGAAAGAACGACAGTTACGGGAAGAAACTGCAATCGCGACCAGCCCTTGCTGGCTGTGACGACATCTAAGTAAGTAGTAAACAATTGCCCCGATCCAAGGCTGCTGCCACCTGGATCGGCCAGCATGGTTGCTCACAAGAGAACGTCACCACATGCATGTTGGATCTTTCCAGGCAGGGGGTTGAGCGACGAGGGACAATTCAGTGGGCCAGCCGCTCAAATCTTCAACCTAACAGGTCTCAAAAGAACGTGCTAAACAAACCCTGGAGGCTTTAATGGTGCTCTCGTTTGGTCCGCAAAACCGTCGACATCAATGTTGGCTGTTTGTCCCTGGAGAATCTTCGAACACGGGCAAGCAGTGATTGTGGCCCCCTGCCGATTGACACAACCAATCAACTGGTACTCCAAACAGAGTACTTTGTACGATAACATCAAACTACCCGTTGGCAACTACTCAGTGGACGAGCCACTTTAATAAAGTGTTAAGACAAGTCGCCTCCTTCCCGAATTTTCTTGTAACTCAATTGCAACAGGAAAGGAAAGAGCTAACTAACTACGTGCCTAGTACGGACTAGCCTCTCCCGTATAATTCGCCAGTAGCACTCAGCCTGACGTCATCCTCCGACACCTAAATTAAAATGGAGGGAAATGAAGGATCAGTCACGAAGCAACCTGGTCGCGTCGCACCCACACATCCTCATTCACTTTTGTCCAAGCTCGAGTCACCCTTGTGCTAGTGTTTTATCAGGGAGCGTTCAGTCCAGCAACTGTTTATCAACCAAATTGCATAGCTCGAACAGAGAACTAGATATTTGCCTGCGTCGCCTCGCCTACATGGTTCCCTAGACGATTCGAATTATCGCCTTCTTCGGTTTCTTGCTCGCCTCATATAACACAATTCTTCCAAAGTAATCTGTTGCAAGCGTCAGTTTAGCAGCTACCAGATATGTCAAAACGATGCTCACTCACAAGCTTGTCCAACAATCACCCAGGTTTCGTTTCCAGCCCTTCGGATCACAAAAGGACAACCGCACCCGTCAAAGAAGCAGACCTTATCTCCCGTTATGGCCTCAATCGGAATCAGTCCAAGGGCTCCCCTCGATGAGAAAAACATTCTGCGGCCAATGGCCAGCGGTCGTAGATTTGCAAAGTATTCATCCTCTCGGCCCAGAACATCAGAAAAGGGAGTGCCATCCGATGGCAGAAGCCTCTTGACCCTCTTCAAAGTAGGATCATGGTCTACATTATCGTCGTCCCACCGCTTGAAATGCACGCCATCCCGGTCACCGCCCTCTCGATATGTGTCCCCATCGGTATTTCCCAAAATATGAAATTGCCATTCGCTGTCATTGAAGGGAACATCAAACATTCTTAAGCACTCGTCTCTTGCTTCCCAGTTTCCTTGTTCCTCCCACTCTTCGAATAGGGCGTCTCGGTGAGACTCATGGAATTCCCGCCATCGCTCTGATATAGTGCGTACATCCTTATTGGACGACTCGGCTTCAATGTAGTCGTCCTCGTTGATGACTTGGACTTCATCAAATATGACACCATGAATATCGAGTCGAGCCTCACTAGGGACATGTTCAAATTTTGCCACATCTTCTGGCGGGTTCCCCCAGTGGTTCACGAGACTCTTATCATGGCCATAATTCGTCTCTGTCAATAGAGGCCTTGAAGGTACCTCCAAGTCAGGAACCCACGACGGCAAACCGTTCGATCGAGTGGGATTCTGACAGCCCGAAAGATAATCCAGATTCTTCCTCAGAAGACTCAAGGTTGTGTCTCTATACAATTTCTGTTTGTCCTTGGCATAGTCTGCCCGCACATCGGTTTCATCAGGATTCGTAAGCGGCAACATGGCGAATACCTTGTCTCTTGGGTCGGTGGCCAGGCAATCTCTCCATTTCAGCGCCAGCACTTGTAGCTCTCCATATGAGCCTCCGCGCCGACTTATCTCCTCGCGGAGCTCATACAATCCAAGAGCCTTGCGAAAGCAAGAACCGAACGAGTGAGTATCCCTTAGTCCATCATGCTGTAGAGCCGGCATATGGTACTCGTCAGCCAAGTACGTTAGTATATCGGCAACCCGCATCACATCCTTCCAATTACACGTCTCGCCACCGCAATGGAATATGACGTCGCTGGGAAGTGCTATTTCCTGTCGGATCCAAACTCGGGAAAACCACGGGCGTTGGTAGAATCTAATAATCGCTGCATAATTGTCCAGTTTCTCTTGTTCTGACACAAAAGTGGTCTCATGAACTGGCAGCTTCGCCATGGGCCGGCCAGGTCCATCCGGTCGGTGAGTCTGTCCCGCTTTCTTTGGTATGTAGTTCCAAGACTCAATGTCTTCCGGCGTTTCTGGAATATAAGCCAAGTCCCTTATGAGCCTCATGGCCTGCGTGCTATTATCACCCTCGTCTCCAAGCCACACATGTACCATGTGGGCAGCCTTGTAGAGACGAGTCATAAGACCAACTTGACTGCTTCTTTCGGTCACATCATTTTGGTTGACGCAAATGGCATCAATCCACCAGTACGATTCAGCCTTGTCCCCCTGGAATCTCTTGAAGGGATCCTCAGGTGGTGGAACGGCCTTGCGAAAGTGTTGCAGGGCATTGTACAAAGAAGGCGTAACAGAAAACGAATGTCCATCCACAACGATGTGTTCCGTGAAAGACGACGTTCCCCAGCAGTACGACAACGGGGTAAAGCACTCAATTGGCGCCGATTTGAACATTGGGGGGCACTCGGCGGCGTCGTCTAAGCTGGCGATTATAAGCCTGCAGATTATGGGATCATCCGGACGGCCAGTCGTGTCCAAAGCCAACAGTCGAATCTCAGAAGCCGCCGCGTTCAAAGGTGCGTAAGCGTACTGTGGCAAACTTGGCACATCTGCTACGGTGACCGATGATTTCGATTCCTTGGCCGCTTCCGGTTTCGGTTTCGGTTTTGGTGGTTCCGACAGAACTGTAGTTCCTTGTGTTGCTGTTGTCGTTGCTGGTGTGGCCGAGGGTGCCGGTCGATGCGCATATCGCTGCTGCAGCTCGGTGACTGTATATCCCCCTTCTTTGACATACTTGTTGGGCTTGGGAATATTTATTGCCTCAAGCCCGTACATTTCGTGAAATTGAATCACCGTCTCCATGAGACCTTTAACTTGGTCTTCGAGCTCGACGATGCGCAGACTCGCGCTCAGTTGTGGGGGTATATCTTTTGACATGGTGTGATGACTGCGATGATGACGATGCTGAAGACAGATTTCGTGGAACAAATTGGCTTCGGTGATGGGTGAGTTCGGGTCCGCAATGTGGTAAGAGTTTACATGTTGCAACCCATCGTTGATGAACCTATTTGCCGTTATGTTCAGCGGGGAACAATGTCCATCTTACTAGTAGGGACCCCTTGTAACAAGGCTGAACATGCGACAGGGATTGGAAGCTTGTGATGACGAGATGAGGAGGATTAGAACCTCATCAAGAGACATTTCCTTTGTTTTAGTGTATGGTACTCTAGTGTATCGGAGCATATGTGCACGCATCGTGGGTTGCTTGAATAGCAGCGAGCCGGCCACTCGGGACGTAGTTGTCCTACTCGAGATACTGGGTTATGGTGAAATTTGAAACTCTACTGATAGTCTCTGAGGCCTCTGAGACATGGTTCAATAGCAATCTTTCCACCGGGAAAAAAAATGAAACAAATGAAAAAAGAGAGAGAGACAGAGAGAGAAGACACAAGGTCTGAGCCAAGGTCCAACTACTGCCGACATCCGCGCCCCCCTTCTTTTCGACCCCAATCCGAATCCTACACATAAGCAACCTGAGCGAGAAACTCTCGATAGCCAGCAATGCTGGTAAAGACAGTAGGATACCCGCTCTTCGGGGACTCAGGACCATACGACACAATACCAACGACCTTCTTCGTCTGAACATCAAACAAGGCGCCGCCGCTATCACTGGCCCACGTATGCTCGAACTCGTTCCAATCCCCAGCGCAAAAGGTCCTGCTCCCGATGCCCCCATGCCGCAAATACCGAAACTGGCATATCCACCTGAGCGCGACCTTTGTCCTCAGGGACCGCAGCCAGCGGGACGGCGGCCCCTTGCCGCCGCGCGTTTGCCCCCAGCCGGCGACGACGACCTCGGTACCCGCCGCGGGCATAGGGTCCTCGGCACCGGCCAGGTCCGCGACGGCGACCTTGCCCCCGAGGGTGAGGTTGCTTTTTAGAGTGAGCACGGCGATGTCGTCGACTTGGTTCCCGCCGGGCTTGTAGCTCGGGTGGACCGTGATGTTGTTCACGCTGACGAGCTGGCCGCCGTGGGCCCAGTCGCGGCTGCCGGCGCGGACCTGGAACTGGAACTGGGAGCCGGCAAATTCGTCGTCGTCTTCGTCGCTCATGGTGCAGTGCGCGGCGGTGAGGATCTTGTTCCGGGCGATGATGATGCCGCCGCACGTGTGGACGCCGAACTGGCAGTCGAAGGTCTGGACCCGGCGCTGGACCGACACTTGGTATGGGAATTGGTCCATGGTGGCGTTGGTGCCGCCGATGGTTCTCTTTGAGTGGTGCGTGGCCGTGGCCGTGGCGAGGCCGCTGGTTGCCAAGATGGTTGTCACGATGGACAACTTCATGATGGAGAGATGAGGGTGCTGGGTTGAGGGTTGTTGGAGAGTATGGTGCACATTAGTAGGATGAGTATAAACCGAGTAGAAGTAGAAGTGGTGGCACAAGTGGTAGAACGAGTAGAACGAGTAGAACGAGTAGAACGACAAGATGTCTTTGATATCAGACGAGGAAATCCTCTCCATGGCAGACAGAGGAGACAAGAGCTTCTTATATAGCCTGGCATGTCCAGTATGTCTGCAGTGACAAACTTTCAAGGAGTCGTTAAGCCAGCCTGGCGTTTCCGCTATAGTTTGGTGAAAGTATGATTGGAACATGGCGGCAGACAGACAACAAAGGCACCATGAGATACTTCTTTCTTTTCTTATTTTAGCTAGCAAGAACGTATTGGGTTGCTGCCTCTCCGCCCGAGTGTGTATGGATTCTTCAGATCCTCAGGGGCACTGTTGATAGTTTGCACTAGTGCGTGCGAGCGGTCCTTGTACCTTGTTAGCCAACAGTCCGAATGTGATTGGAAAAAGTGAAAGTAGAGTTGCGCCGAACTTGGCGGTAGGCGACTTGACGCCTCCGAGTCTTGTGTGAGCTAAGTCCTGCATCGTGCCTCTTCTAAAGCGCCAGTCAAGCTAAATATCCCTAGTTCGCATGTACCCATATAGTGTAGGTTCAATCGTGCAATCCATGCGGTGGCTTGAAAGCACGTCGAGGATAATGCCGGTAATGCTCGTCTGTTCTAGGTCAATTCGCTCCTATGCGTCCAAGGTGTTCACGGAATATCTCTCCATACCCGTCCTGGGAAATATGGTGCCTTACACAAAGGCTGAACTGGCTCTTCACTCAATGTTCCCCCGGGTATGTATCATGCATATTATTCAACTCCCTTGCGTGTTCGCTCATCGCAGCGGCCCTAAACCCCAACATACATTATGCAAATACACAATCTTCATAACAGCGTCCAGCGCCTATCACAAAGCCTCCCCTACCTCTTTGTCAACTCATCGCTTAGCCCCTGCCTCCCAATAAACGTCCTCATTCCCCTATCAACACCTGCCACCCATCTTGCAAGAACCTGCACTCCGGCCGGCAAAACATTATACCAGTCCACCCACCGGGCGTAAAGCGGCATGCCTACCGTCGCACCCCTGCCATTGTCAATGGCCCCGATGATCTCCTTGGCGACATCGACGGGTTCTACGACTGGGGCAAAGAAGCTATTCGGCGTCTGGACTCCATAGAATAGAGGCGTGCTCAGCTGTCCGGGGGTAATGAGCACGGTTCGAATCTCAGGGTGCGTCTCGCGCAACTCGGCAGTCAGAGAGCGGTGCATGGCCGTCAGACCAGCTTTGGCAGCAGCGTAATCTGACAATTGCGCAGCGCCAAGGTGGCCAATGACGGAGGAAATGTTGACAATGGTGCCGCCGCGACCGCCGCGGAGGATGGCCGGGAGGAAGGTCTTGAGGCAATAGAATGGGCCGAGCAGGTTGGTGGACAGGCTGGAGTCGATCTCGTCCAAGGTCAGGTTGAGGAGGGACTTGCCAATGACAACAGCGGCGTTGTTAATGAGCACAGTCGGCGTTCCGAGCTGTGAAATATGCATCAGTCAGGGCCCTTGGTCACCTTCACGTTCGTTCACACGGCCAAGTAAAGACTCACGTCTCGCTCAATCTCGTCGGCAACCTTCTTCACCTGTGCCTTGTCGCCAACATCGCACTTGTAATAGGTGACGCCCCGCGCCTCCCCATTCTCCATCTCATTCACATCCAACACGGCGACGCTGGCGCCCCTCATGCCATACACCTCGGCGACCAACATGCCCAGTCCGCTCGCACCGCCCGTGATCACAATCACCTCCTCGCTCAAATCAACCTCTCTCGGCAGTCCATAAGCAATGCGCTGGTTGACCACGCCTGCCATCGAGCACAGCGTGATGAAGGTCGCCCACGCTATGGATGCAATCATGCGGGGAGCTTCCCACCGGACCGTCTGCGCCCGGAAGCACAGCGGGATCATCCAGCAGACAAAGGGGTGCAGGAAGGTCACATTGAGGACCTTGACGATGAGGTCGACGGATAGAGGGGCGAACCAGGAGTCGCGCTGGGGAGGGCGCGGATAGTTTCTCGAAGACATGCTGAGGCTGATGACGGAGGCAGAGGCAGATGAGGAAGAATGGCGGAAACGAGGCAAGGTAAAGACTGGCGGTGCGTAGAAAGCACCAGAAGAGCCTTGGCTGGAATGAATTGAAGAAAAGAAACAAAGAATCAACGCATTCGAGAGGAGAAAAGTTGGACGAGCTGGACCAAGGCGATGGTGAGACCAGGCGTGTGGTTGAACATTTGAAACAATCTGGCAGCATGTGAAGCACCAAGATGGCCGCCAACGAGCCCCTGGTTTCCGGAGCAAGTCCTGAGCGGCGCTGCGCATCAGCGCGGGACGTCAACTCCCTAGTGCAGGCGGCTACAGAGTTCTACAGTGGGGCTCAGGGCCGTCACGGATAGCCAGCCAATCAATGGCCGAGCCTTGGAACATCAACTGTTCGCATCATGTCAAGTTGGGGAAGACCGTGACGGCATAGACATGACTCCATGTCGGTTTGCTCACTGGTTGAAACAATTTATGCTAACATTGAACCAATAATCGAAGCAGCTTGTCGTTGACATGGCCTCTGTAAACCGTGTGTCCCCCCAGAACTTCATCACCATATTGACATGCCCTCACATAGCCCACAACAACATCAACCCCAATATATTCGGTTACAATCACCATGACGTCGCGAAACAAGATATCCGGCATCCAATTATGTAGAGAGAGAGTTAAATATCGTACAACACCGTGGCCGCATCTACCACCTCCCACTGCCGGCTTCGCCCCGACCCTCATCCTCACCACCAACACTCCTCGCACCGTAATTTCTCCTTGCCCTCTCAGCCTCCTTCTCCTCCTCCTCCCATTCTCTCTCCCGCCTCGCCGCCTCCTTCCTCCTCTCATGCCACCAACTATCCCGCACAATCCCCTCTCTCCTCCACTTCCGCGGCGGCTTCATCCCAACCGCCGCCTTGCGCTCCCACACCTGCATCCCTCTCCTGAACCACCTCTCCTGCCGCTCCTGCTCTTCCGCCACCGACGGTGTCCACTTGCTCTTGAGAATCCGCCGAATCGACTCCACCGACACCTCAAACTTGTCCGCCAGCGCCCGCGTCGTATAAGTATCCGGGAACTGCGCGTTGAGTGCCCGTATGCCCGCCAGAGCATCAGGAGACAAGCGTTTCCGGGGCTTCCAGCCCTGGGGGAATTTCTCCTTGAGGGCTGCCTTTTGGCTCTGCCACTCGGGGGTCTTCGGCTGGGCAATATTCAGGTCGGGCGATTGGTCGTGAGGCTTGGCTTTGTTGGCCCTGCGTTTCGGTGGCGGTGACGGAGGCGAAGATTTCTCGATTGTTCGTGTTTGGAATTCCTTTGCAGATGGAGCTTCATTCTCCGTCTTCTTGTCCCTTGCTCGGTTCTTTCGTAGAGGCTTTGTCTCAGCCGCCGTGCCCGTCACATTCTCCCTCTTGTCAACCGCATTTTCCGCTGCAACGGCCGACCGAGTAGTTTCTCGTCTCCAGTAGGATGAAGCGGCAAGTCCACGACGTTGACTCGAAACAGGCCGGGGCACCGGCGCAGGACGCCACGGTCGAGCTGTGCTGGTCGAGACCGGAAAGTTGTGGACTTGCGCCAAGCTCTGCAAAAATATCCTCCAAGGCGCTGCGCGGCATGGACATTTCATTGTTGCCCAAAGGGGGTCTCTGACCTGCACGGCTGCCCGTGTTGAACCCCTTTGTGTGATTGAAGATGCTAGACGTTGCAAAGAAAAGCTGGCGGACCGAGACTAATTTGGACATGGGACACGCGAATGAGCGGCAGGGATCTGGTGGGTCTACATCATTGGCGCAAAGTCTTGTGCTTGATACGTCGGACCTCAGGCCGTCAAGCTAATAAACAAAGCAGCGGGATTCAAACAAATGATAAATAATGCAAATATTGAATTTTATACTCACCAACTAATCGAACAATTTCAAGGCAATGATCTTGTTGCATGGTACACTGCAAAGGACTACAACAGCTAATTTCCAAAAGGACTTGTATTGATTCCTCGCCAAATAGTTGCATACTATACAACTCCAGAATTCCATTCCCGTGGCAATAGCCCACGTCCATTTCTAGAGCAAAGATAACAATCGATAACCATGTTCCACTTCCCATGTTGCATACAATCCCAATGCCGTGATCCCAAAATTTCGGATGCTCTCCAGAACACTCCGATTTGAATGCGCCAGTAACCTTGTCCCCCCCTCCAATTACGCCTATGCTTTTTAATTTTCGCTTCTGATGCTTGTTCCCCCGAAACAAAAAAGAAAGAATCCCAGGATCGTTACGCATCGTGCATCAGCTCAACTGGGGGGCGGGCGGTATGTGCCATGATAGGTCGGCAACCGTCGATAGGGCTTATGAGTTCAGGCTCTTCCGTCATATCCTCAACAAAGACGGCAGGCAGGTCTGGGCTGCACCCATTCTCCTCCGGACGGTAGATGAGGGTCGAGCTACGACTTCTCGTGCTCCCACTAGCAGCAGGTCCGTCCACGGGGCTGATAGGGGACTCAAGTCCTGGGCGGGTGTTGCGCAGTTTAGACAATGCTTCAGCCAAGTCTTCGGCGTGCACCTGCTTGTTCGGAGCGTCCTCCAGGCGGACCTCCCAGCCATGGGGAGGGCTGGGTGGCGGTGAGATGAAGAACAACTTGCCAGCATCAGGGAGAGCTAGATGCTCGTCCTTGGCCTCGACATTTGTCTGCTGTCCAAAGTAGACTCTGCAGCGATCACCGAGGATAGCTTCGCCATCCCAAACTTGACGGACAGCGATGGAGGAATCGATATCGAAGAAGGAAATGACGATGCGACGGAACGACTTGAGCGGCGCAAAGGCGTGGATAGGTGCTATCTTGGCAACCAGTCCTCGGACTCGCTCCAAGTTGTCTGGTCGGAAGATATCTGTGTTGTTGAGGCCGGTAAAGAGGAGGGTATTTGATGGCGGCGTGGGTTGCGTCAAAGGAGGCAAGTTGGAGAGGTCCAGGGTGAGGCCAGATTTGCGCGAGGCCGATGAACACGACCGTGAAAGGCGAGGGGTAACATCCATTATGCGTGCAGATGTGGCTTGTGAACTGTGGGTTGTTGTAGCGGTCAAGCCCAGATATGTCGAATATCGTGGCGAGAGTTGGATGTCGGAAGGCCGTTCGTATCAATTATATATATCGCGTGATAAGTATAGGCAACGCTCCCGCCGGACGGCACGATAATTGTTCAGAGTATTCCGATGGAGGTTAGGAATAGTTGATGACAACAAGAGAGGCCAGATTGGTCGAGGACAAAGGAGGGAGGCGCTGATAAAAGAATGTCCAAGGTTGGTTTTGACGTGGGGAAGTGGACAATCCAGAGGCGGGAGGGGACGACATTGAAGTACCAGGTGATGCAAAGTTACTAGACGGAAATGTGATGGAGACCCACAGGCCCAGCCCCAAAGTGGCAGTTGACATAGCGCGTGAGAGTGGACCCCTGTGTGTCACCGTGTGCAGCTTTCTTGGCAAGTTTCCAGGGTGCACTGGGTGCTGGAGTGCGGCGGCAGGGACGGGGGATGGACGGCGTCTGGTGGAAATTGACATTACAGTACGGAGTACGGAGTACAAAGCTGAAGCAGAGTGGCAAGCGCGGTGGCTGCGGCCGCCTGCGAGGGGAAACTGGTCGAGGTGGAAGGAGCGACGGGCTGTCAGACCACCACCCAACCACCCAGCGGGCACGGCGATGGTGGCGGTACAAGATTAATAACCCGCATATCAACCGTGTCGTGCTACTGGGCTGTGCTGCAGAAACTTTTCATCCTGCAAACGCGCCTTGCCGCTCCAAGCAACCCAACGGAGGCCGCAAACAATGCTAGCTGCATCGCCGCCTTTGCCACTCGGGTCACCACGCTGAGCCCCCCCGCGGGTGCAAGCTTACGAATAACGCTTGGAGGTCCCAGCTCAATCAGATGTGCCTTGCCTTGCTTGTACTCGGCAAGCATACTAGGAACTAGGTACTTAGGTATGCAGCCATGTCAGGAACCAAAGACAGCTGACGAATTGCGCCTTTATCCCCATAGATGCAGGCTGTGCTCCTGGCCTGAGACAGCAAAAGCATCATCGGATCAGCTGGACACGCAGCGATGCCACGATGCCATGCCGGTTGGGTGCAAGATGCAGAGGAGGAAAAAATATAGCGAGCCGAAACACTGTAAAGTAGTGGTTTCGTCTTGAGCATGGAACTCCCAGCGCCGTGGTTGTTTCGTGCCGCTCTCCTGGTATCAAGGTACCGACGCACATGCAATACACTGTATGTTGCAGCCCTAAAGCTAGACTCAAAGGCCTGCATTAGAGAGCTACCGAAAACAGTAGATGAGCAGTCGCGTCTTCTTCGGTACCTCGAGGCAGTCAGTATCACGGCTTCCTGCAGACTGAAATGGTCGGCATTGCAAACGCCTAAGCAATTGCAATATCGAACGTGACAAATCAAGGAGGTGAAGGAAGCCCCATTTAATGTACAAAAAGTCATTATCTTGACCAACGATCGAGCTTCTAAATCTTGAGTTGCAGAAGCGTACAAAGGGCCGGGTTCAAGGTTATATTCTTGCTCGCCAGTTTATAACATCTTTTCAATGTCCCTAGTACCTCGGTATTCCAAATCAAATTGCACAGGTATCCCAGGAAATTATCCACGCAATGTTAAAGCGTGGGGAACAACAAAACAAAAGCAACCTACCTAAATGTATACGCGAAGGCAATTATGCAAGTCTCTTTATAATCTGACGATGAAGCAGCATACTCCGTACCAGACATCAATTGATACGTTATACAATCTCACTATAGGCGACTCAAAAACGCCCGAGGGGACCATAGCCAATCCCGTGCTTACGAGTACGTGGCTCACTGGCCCACGTCAACTCATCGTGGTCTATTTACCATGAATACCACACCGCTACAACAAATTTGCAAATATCATGGTCACCAGCATTTCAAGGAAAGAAACTAGGATCTTTATGCCTGTACACCCTTCCCCATGACGTCCAGTAACTCGGACATTACTAGAAATCTGATCTACAGTTTCGAAAGCTCCTGCGTTTCAGAGTTTGCCAGAGGTTCTAGCCAAGAAAGACTACTAGACAACCAACAACGGTCCTAACCGTGCCGTGCAATAGCCTTGGAAGTCATTTCAATGGTTTCATGGCCCAATCTACTCAAGCACGTCCCCCATGGGGGGGTTGGGTTTCTACCAAGTCCAGACTCCAGAAGCTGATGTAAATGCGCCCACGACTTGGCCGAGTTTCGCCCCAAATTCCCACGACTTGAAATGTTACCTTCGTCATCTATGAGGCTCAAGAATCTGTCGAGTTGCCTGATGCAATGACGCCAGCTGCCCACGACTTCTTCGAGCCGCAGTCAAGGGAGCACATCCCGTCACGGCTGGGCTGATGTCAGACGTACGAAATCTGCCCTGTTTGCGAGGATTCATGGTCGCAGGGTAGTCACGGCTAGCAATTGACGAGGCAGTGTTGCGGGTATAGGCCGCCTTGGCAACTAACAAACAAGCCTTGGCCGGGCCAAGATGGGGATACTTGGTCGGGAGAGAACCGAAAACCAGTGGCCTGAGCCGATACGTAAAGGCGGGCCTGAAGGCTAGTGATATTTGACATCGAGGCACAGAAAGTCTGATGAAGGCTATGGCGGATGAGAGCGACGGAGTAAATTGCCAAGCAGCAACGCGAAGGCATCGTGAGATTACCATAGCATTGTCGTATCAGTGGCTCAGGTCTTTGCTCAGCCACTTCAATAATACGAAGTACGAAGTGGACATTCGGCATATTGGGGGTAAATGATAGAGACCCAGCCGGCTGCTAATGCCATGGATGAAACCATTTACCCAGAGCCCTTCGCCCACTGTCCCCAACTGTATAGAGTCTTGCACAAATGCGGCGGTGACACTAATACGTAGTGTTGGTGCTATAAAAGCAGCACTGTTCTCTGGTCGCCATGTCAATTTGTTGCCCTGTGGGTTTTACCTCGGCACTAGAAGCGGTGGCAGCCCAGAGGCAGAATACCATTCCAGCTGATGGGGATATCGAAAAAACGTCTATAATTGTGGCTGATGCTGTGCCTCCTTTTGGTCACATCGTCTATCACCACTACTACCACCAAGAGCCCTCGGTATTATTCGTCATGCCGTTTTGTCCATAAAATGTCAGTCATTTAAGAGAGGGTATACAGACTAGAAAACCCCTGTTGCATCGTTCCTCTGGGATGAATAAATTATCCTTGTATAAAATTGATGCTGCATGATAGCCCGGTGATACTAATCGTCGGCCCCATTCATCCGGTAACAAAGGTCATCGGGTACAGCATCCCTGTTTCCTGGTACGGACTCTGGAGTAATTCTTCCCGCGTTTGGTGCATCAGATCTTCAACCATCCAGATCTCTCCGTTCAATGTTCAATGTCGGCGAAGCACAGCTAGCTCCGCTCCTGTCCCACTGAATTACCCGTTGGCAACTAAGTGGACTCCCACTTAGTTAGTCACAAAATTCTAGGACAGCCACAAAAGGCCAGGACAGGCCCTACCCAGACCTTTATATATAAATTAGCTATATAATTATAAAAGTATGATTTTTTTTATATTATATAGTATTATATAAGTA